AGCGAGGCCGGTTCCTGGCTGATCCCAGACAGCTGAAGCCCCGGGGCCAGGGCTGTGCAGCCTTGGTGGGCGCCGGCACCTCCTGCCATGTCTGAGGAGGGCAGCTGAGCCCCCGCGGCACCTCCGAGCAGCCGGGCACGGCCAAGAGGACACGGGGAGGATGGAGCTGAGTTCCTCTCCAAAGGCAATCCCCGAAGACCAGCACACTCCCAGGCTGGAGGGATCCACAGCTCCAGCCTCCCTGTCCCTCCGACCCTTGGCTTGTCCCTCCTGGGTGCGTGGGTGCAGGTGGCAGGGCGTCTGTGTGAGTTGTGCCTGTTCTTTGCCTCATGCCCTTGATCTGTGTATTTCTGTTGCTCTAAGCGGAGAATCTGGTGCTGGTAAGACTGTAAACACCAAGCGGGTCATTCAGTACTTTGCCATTGTCGCAGCCTTGGGCGACACACCGGGCAAGAAATTAGTAAGACCCTCTTTTGAAACAAGTTCTTGCTGTTTTCTTCCTTTTTTTAATTTTTTTTTCTTTATTTTTTTCCCTTTCCCTTCTCCTTTCTTCTTTTTACTGTTTCTTCCCCTGACTTTTTGCAGTTGGAAGTGTGTTTTGGTCTGACCCACCCAGGGCTTGGCTTTTCCCTGACTTTTGAACAAGCAAGGCTTGAAATTATTCTGCTCAAGGGGAAATGGATTTTTTTTTTATGTGGCTGCTCTATCTGTGCAGTCTGGAAGAGGCACTTTAGACATTCTTTTCTCTTCCTCCTTCAACACCCCACCAATCTTCTTAAGGAGCATTAAAAGGATGGAATAAACCTTCCATTTCCCACCTTGCCTCTTTTAAGCCTTGCTTTTCAGCCTTTTCTCCTTTTTTTTCCTCCTCTTGTTCATTTTGACCCTTTTCTACCTTGTGCTTTTCTTGCTCTTGTTTTGATTCTTGCATTTCTTTGGTGCTGGTTATTTTTGAGCTGCCCTTGCAATTGCTTATTTCTTCTGGATACATTGAGGCTCCAGCCTGCTTTTCCCTCTTGGAAGCAAACTGGCTGCTTTAGGTATCAAACAAGCAATACTTCAGCATTGTTTTATTTCCTCTTCTTTGGGTTTGGATTTAACTATTCTTGCTTTTTGACGCATTTCTTTATTTTCTCGAGCTAATCTATTTAACAACTTTTTGGCATTTCTTACAAAGTTTAATCCTGTTTTTTGGGGTTTTTTCTTGGACTTCTTTTGGCACTAAATGGTCATGCCCTGCTTTTCTGACCATGCTTCTTGTGGCTCTTGCCTGGCTTTCTTGGATTTCTAAAGACAATTTTCTTTCCTTTCTCTAGGCAGCTCTTGCCACTAAAACTGGGGTAAGTGTTGTGGACTCTTTAATGCTGAGGACAGAGTTCTGCTGCACAACAGATCTGTGATGGGGTGATGTGTGGGGTCTCTGCCTTAGGTCTGGGTCCAAGGGCTGCCCCAGCAGCAGGGCAGTGTTTAGTTCTCCACTTGGCTCTGTATCACTCACCTTCCCATTGCTGGAAGCTTTGATGTTTCATCTCTCAGTGACTTTCTGTCTTCCTGACTCCAGCCTCTCCTCCAAGGCACCATTACTCTTGGAACAGTCATTTCTAACCAGCACAGTGTTTGTCTGGGGGGGAATGACATGGGCTCCTCTAAAGATGAGGTGAAGCCTCCACTCCCTGCAGACATTAGTGTGTCTCCCAGCCTTGAAGTCCAGCTGAGGTTGGTGGTGCTGAGAGGCAGGGGAAGACCTCTTTGCTCTGGCTGCAGAACAGTGCCCTGGTGATGCCTGGACATGCCACCCTCTGCAAAGCCCTGAACTGGCTCAGCCCACCACGCTGAGCTGATGTCCTTCCCTGGGGTACACTGTTGAGGTGCTTGCTCAGCTCCAAGGAAACGCAGCAAAGGTTCAGTCCCTGGTGCTCCCAGCACCCCAAGGGCTCAGCCCTTCCAGCAGCTCAGTCAAGCATCCTCAGGCCTTGTTTTCTCTGAGCCTTTAGCTGATACACACCCTTTGCTGGGGGATGTTCATTACCACATGGGTCTCAGAGCACTGGGGCAAATTTAGGGTGAGACATCTGAATGGGGGGCTGAATCTGTGGCTCCTGGGGCTGCCCCCATTGCATCTCACAGTCCACGCAATTTTTAGGTCAGGCTGAATTTAAAGGTATCAGACCCCAGGATATCCAGGTAACAGATGCAGTTTGTTGATAATGGTGATTCAGAGCTGCTCCCTCTCCCTTTTGCCCCTCCCATCCCTGGAGCTGCAGAGGTGGAGCAGTGCTGGGTCCAGCATTGGAAAGAGAGGGTGGACAGAGCCCAGAGCTGGTGCTCCTCTCCTAAGGAAAGCCCTGTGAACTGTAATTTGTCAGAGAATGGGCAAAAGCTCTCATGAAAAATCCTGCAGGTCCCTGTGCCACCAAGCTCTTGCTGTTGTCAACCCCCACTGTCCTTCCTGTAGATTGGCACCAGTCTCTTGCTTCTCTCCTCAAATTCTTGTCCTGCTTTACCTGCATTAGGCATTTGCTGCCTCTTTACCTTTGAACTGGGCACGTGAAACATGAATGGAAAAACAAGGTTAGGGGAAGATTAATCTCTGGGTTTGCTCAGGAGAGCTCCAGTGTGTCCAGCAGGTCATGCCAGCTGCGACCTGTGGTGTGTTCCCACCACACCAGGACCCTGCTGTGCAAGTTGTCAATATAAAAAGTTGTTGATCCAGCCTGTTTTATAGATCTCTTCTTTTGAAATGTGCTGTGATGTGAATTGTCCAAAACTTTGGTTTGGTGGAAGAGGAATTGCCTGGCAGAGTCAGAGAGCCTGAAATGACTCAGACTGTTTTGGTGACATCGTGTGCTTGCTCTTGGTTTGCATATTGCAGCTCCAAAGAAAGGGGCTGAGGGCTGCTGTGTGCAGAGGGCACAGAAGCCTGGGTCTCCAGGGGGACCAGTTCAGGCAAGGAGAAGCCCACAGAGAGCACTGCTGCAAACCCCAGCTCTGCTAACCCCTAAACTCAGCATGTGCAGGCTGGAGATTTACTCACTTTGGGGTAGGGGGTGTAGCCTACTCTGAGCTCCTTCAGCCTCCCTGATGAGATGACCTGTTTCAGGTGAGCATGGAAACAGCTGCAACAGCTCACTCAGGGCCCTGGTGTAGACCTATCATGGATGTGACCCCCAGAACAGCCCCATTGCCTCCTGAAACAAGGAGGTGCCTCGGGAGCAGCAGGTTCTCAAAAACACGTAATGAGGGTAGCAAGGAGCCACTCCCTCTGCTCTGTATTTTGATTACAGATCCCCTCTGGCTCGGTGGAACTGACACATATTTTGGTTTTTGTTTCTTTTTTACAGGGCACCCTCGAGGATCAAATCATCGAGGCTAACCCAGCTATGGAAGCTTTTGGCAACGCCAAAACCATAAGGAATGACAACTCCTCGCGTTTTGTGAGTGCCTCAGCAGGACAGGGAGCTGGGAATGTCTCTGCAGGTTGGATGTGTGGCTAGTGGTGGTGTGGGTTTGTACAGTGTGAGCCCAAGGCACTGAGCAGGGAGCTGGACCTGCCTCCTGGTGGGATTGGACTGCCAGGGCCAAGTTTTCCTGGTTACATCAGTGCAGCAAATAGTGACCAGCACGAATGGCCCTGGTGCCACAGCCTGTGAGGGTGGTAGTCAGTGGTAGATCCTGGAGAGATGTCCCTTCCAGGATCAGAGTTGAGGGACACTAAGCACAGCCTGGAATGCTGGGGCTGGGACAGACAAGTGTGCCCCTTCCAGGAAGCACCACTGTTCTTGCTAAGCCCAACCTGGCTCTGCTCTGGGCTGCAGAGCTCCTGTGCCTTGCAGGGGAAGGAGGCACTGCTGGGGGAGACCCTCAGCACAGCACAGAGCAGGGGGCTGTGGGCAGGCTCAGTATCACACCACCCCACAGGAGTGCTTAGGGTTAAGAACAGGCCTAAGCACAGGGATTTATCTGCTCTCAGTGAAATTTCTGCCAGCCTGGTATTTAAAGCCCTGGGCAATGCTGTCTGAGCCTCTGCACGTTACAAACCAGGGAACTTCACCCCTCTACGGCTCACAGAGCCCAGAAACTTGCCTGGTCAGCAGAAGCCCAAGAAGTGGGATGTTAATTCAGTTTCTAGGGGCTGTTCAGAGTCATATCTGTGTAGCCAAGCCCAGAACTTACCTCCTGCACGTGTTTTCAGGGCAAGTTCATCCGGATCCACTTTGGTCCCTCCGGGAAGTTGGCCTCGGCAGACATTGACATCTGTGAGTAGCCATGTGCCAGCTGCAGGGGGGAGGGAATCCATCCCACTCTTTGTGCTGATGCTGGGACAGCTCTGGGAACAAAAGCAGCCCTCCTCTAACCCCTCTGCCCTATTTCATTGTAGATCTTCTGGAAAAATCCAGAGTGATTTTCCAGCAGCCCAAAGAGCGAAGCTACCACATCTACTACCAGATCCTCTCTGGGAAGAAACCAGAGCTGCAAGGTAAGGCAGCCAAAGATGCAGCACAGCCCTTACAGCATGATGGCCTGAAAATAGCCACAGACAGCTCTGCTGTCAGCTTTGAGGTTCACAGGAATGAGCAAATCCAGCTCACCATGCAGGTACTGCCCTCCAATGCTTTGTAGCTGTGCAGGATCATAGGATTGGTGGATAATTCAGGGTGGAAGGGATTTCAAGAGGTCATCCAGTCCAGTTTCCTTTATCCCCACCAGCTGAGAAGCCAGACTAAAGCCCTTTCTGCCACTGTCTAGGAGCAGAGGTCACTCAGGGTCCATCTGCAGGGTGGGAGTGCACTTGGAAAAGCTGCCTTGCACAAAGGCCTTGTCATGTGGTGGGTACAGCACTGACCTCAACCAGCATGTGCAGGTTGGAGATTTACTCATTTTGGGGTGGGGGAAGTGTCCTGCAGCCTACTCTGAGCTCTTTCAGCCTCCCTGGTGAGATGACCTGTTTCAAGTGAGCGTAGAAACAGCTGCAACAGCTCACTGAGGGCCCTGGTGAAAACCCATCCTGGATGTGTCCTCCAAGCAGCTCTGCCCTCCAGGGGCCACATCCCACAGAGTGCTCAGGAAACCTTTCCCCGTGTAGATGGAAGGCTGGCACAGCCCCCTGGGGTGGTCAGCTTTTAGCTGTGGGCTCCTGAGCTTGGTGCTGAGCAGCACCTTATTAGGCAGCCCTGGAGAGTGGCACAGAGCAGTAATCTTATCTGGTGTCACAAGGGCATGGTGGCCACTTCTAAATCAGTCTGCAGCCAAACCATATCCCAAGATAGCAAGCTGGAGGCGATCAGAGGAGAGGTGGACCCATGTGTGGACCTGCCTGGGCTGGAAGAGGCTGTTCCTCCACCAGCTGGTGCCCTCTAGTTGAGGCTGGTGAAGCCTTCCCTCTGCACCCATGGCCAAGGCTGCCTCTCTGCCCAGCTCTCTCTGTCAGATTGACCTCACTCTCTGCATGTCTTCCCCCAACAGATATGCTGCTGCTCTCCCTCAACCCCTATGACTACCACTTCTGCTCCCAGGGTGTGACAACTGTGGACAACCTGGATGACGGGGAGGAGCTCATGGCGACAGACGTACGTGTACAGCCCGAGCCAGGGAGGGCACAGCCTCCTTCTGGGCAGCTCTGGGGTCCTGTCCTGCCTTCTCGTGTGTCCCCCCCTCTAAATTAGCTGGGAGTTCCCTCTGGTTTATTGGTAATTGCTCTACACTTGCTGTGAGCCTACAAGGGAGAGCAGAGTGACTCTGATCTCCATCAACCGCCTCATCCAGACAGGGAAGGGAGAGTAATTCCCTGCATTAGGAAGGGCTTGTAGCACTTCCCATAGTGCCCATGAGAAGGAAGGTTGGAAAAGACCTCCAAGGTTACTGAGTCTAACCTGTGCCCAATCCCCACCTTGTCCCCCAGCCCAGAGCACTGAGTGCCATGTCCAGTCCTTCCTTGGACACCTCCAGGGGTGGGGACTCCACCACCTCCCTGGGCAGCCCCTGCCAATGCCTGACCACCCTTTCAGTGAAGAAATTCTTCCTGATGTCCAACCTAAACCTCCCCTGACACAGCTTGAGGCCATTTCCTCTTGTCCTGTCCCTTGTTCCCTGGAAGCAGAGCCTGACCCCCATCTGGCTCTCCCCTCCTGTCAGGGAGTTGTAGAGAGTGAGAAGGTCTCCTGAGACTTCAGCTTGGAAAACCTCCTTCTTCTGCATGCTAAGCTAATCCTTTTGGTTTCAAACAGGTCTTGTGGGAGCTGGGCTCACTTTCAAAGTCCCATGGACAGGTTTCCTTGGTTAGGTGCCCACCCTGCCCAGAGCCCCAGGACAGGGAGAACACCTTAGGAGATGGTGGGAGGATGGACCAACCCTCACCTCAGAGTGGTTCTGTTCTCTCTGTGATGCTTTGTCTCCCCTCAGCATGCCATGGACATCTTGGGCTTCAGCAATGATGAGAAATATGGCTCCTATAAAATAGTGGGGGCCATCATGCACTTTGGCAACATGAAGTTCAAGCAGAAGCAGCGAGAAGAGCAGGCAGAGGCTGATGGCACTGAAAGTGAGTTGGGCTCTGTGCTCCAGACCTGTCCAACCTGGTCTGGGCAAAGTTCCCCCAAGGGCAGGCCGGGATAACTCCCCCTAACCTGGCCTGTGAAGGTCAGAGACTGTGATCCAAAGCACCCACACTAGGCCCTGCTATAGGTGCACAAAGGGGCAGGAGTATTTAGGGCAGTCTTTCTGCAAGCACTAGGTGGTCTCATCTGCATCAGACTTGCCTCAGCAGCACCACAGGGTGTCACACCCCAGCTGGGCTTCATCTCGTTCAGTCTTCCCCTGCTTTTCATCTCTTGCACTTCATTAGACAGCATTCCAGAGCAGGGCATCCAGAGGATGAGCCAGGCCAGGATCAGCACTGCAAGGACCTGCTCAGGTCACAGCCTCCCAGGGAGCAGTTAGAACAGGGTACAGTCACTGTCTGTCACTTTTTCTGGTTTATGGCTCAGGAAAATCCAATGCCAATCATAGATCTAGGAATAGTCAGGCTGCAGAGCAAACCTGGAGGGAGAGGGTGACTTTCCAGCGTGTGGAAGGATGGGAAGGGGGAGCCCCAGCACTTCCCTAGAAGGTTTAAGCAGGGATCCAGCAGAAATGACTACCTGGATCGGACTTTGTCATGCTAACATTCAAGAGGAAAGAGTTCTCCTTGCCTGAGGAATGTCAACACAGGCTTCAGCTACTGCTTGGTAATTAATGAAGATTTTATCTGGCAGCAATTTCCATACAGAGGTGATTTTCTAGCTACAATCTGCTACTAGGAGTCTTTGAATGATAAACAAGAAAATCGCCTCTCTTCTGGTCACTTCAAATTCTCTGCATGGAAATCCAAGCTTCCACTGGAAAATGCATAGGAATTCCCAGATAAAATCTGATAAGCACCTGATAAGATGCTGTAGCCATTGTATCCAAACACTAACTTCTCAGGAAGGAGGTCCAGATTTTAAAAGCATCACACAATATCCAAGATGGGAAATCACATGAAACACTGGAGGAGACTCTGGAGCAGATGGGAAAATGAGTATAGTTAGCACTGATCATCATAAGAGCTGGTCATTTTTTTGCTTCCTTTTTTCCCTTCCCAGAGCTTCCTTGCTGGCTCCTCATGCCTTTGTCCTGCTTTCCAGGTGCTGACAAGGCTGCCTACCTGATGGGAATCAGCTCAGCTGACCTCATCAAGGGGCTGCTCCATCCTCGTGTCAAAGTGGGCAATGAGTACGTGACCAAAGGTCAGAATGTGGAGCAGGTGAGTGGGACAGGACGGGGGCTCCCTGCTCGTGCTGGTCAGTGACTCCTCTTGCAGCCAGGCCTGATGTGCTCTGCACAGGGGAATGGGGCTTTGGTTCACTCCCTTGGGTTTAGGAGGAGACTCCAGAGAAGCAGGAGAAGATGTATCCACAGTTAGTGGCTTTTAGCAGCTGGGAAAGTTGGTGGCAGAGCTGGCAGATAGCTTTGCACATGAACCATGGCTGGAGGTTCAGTGCACTGTCTTTGAGGTGTGGGTTGGATCACAGCCAGAGGAGGTCCAGGTTCTATGGATCTGCTTCAGAGACAGTCACACTCCTGTGGAGAGTCCAGCCCTGAAAAGTAGAAAACTCATCTAAACACTCATCCAAACTGATCTTGTGGGAGATTCAAATGTACCAAAAATGTATCTTGCCAGATTCTGGCCACATCCCAGTTCAGAACCCAAACCTGGCCTGAATAGTGCAAGCCACTCCTTAAATACAGAGGATCTTAGGATCTTATCCAAAGTGAGCTGCAGGCTCTTGACAGGGCACAAGGCTTCTGAAAATATCACTTTAGACTGTATTTGTATCCTAAGACCTTGGAAGCAAGACTAGACCGGGGACATGAGAACACACCTGTGAGCAAAGTGAAATCTAATTTTGGAGCATATAGTGTAACCACAAACTCCCTGGATCAGCCTGTCCATCCCTTGTGGGCCGAGAGGAGCTCTCTCCATCCCCCTCTGGCTCCTACAAAAGCAGGGAGCAGCTCATGGCCTGCCCTGTGCCTTGCCCTGCAGGTGCTCTATGCTGTGGGAGCTCTGGCCAAAGCCACCTACGACCGCATGTTCAAGTGGCTGGTGACAAGGATCAACAAGACCCTGGACACCAAGCTGGCCAGGCAGTTCTTCATCGGAGTACTGGACATTGCAGGCTTCGAGATCTTTGATGTGAGTTCTGCAGGGCCCTGCAAAGGGTTTGGGGGGAAGCTGTGGGGGCAGCTCTGTCTCCTCCAGGGAACTGCTGGCCTTGATGGGGAAGAGCTGTGGAGCAAACAGGCAGCTCACAAGGGCTGGTTTAACACTGCTGTGGGCACATCTCCAGGGATTCCTGGCTACCTGCTCTCAGCAATGCAGCTGGGCCTGGCAGAGGTCACCCTCCACACCCAGACAGAGCAGAAGGGTTGAACCCCTTCACTGCTGGAGCTCCTTCTGACTCAGATCTGGTTTGTTCTTGCAGTTCAACAGCTTTGAGCAGCTGTGCATCAACTTCACCAATGAGAAACTGCAACAGTTCTTCAACCACCACATGTTTGTCCTGGAGCAGGAAGAATACAAGAAGGAAGGCATCGAATGGGTCTTCATTGACTTTGGCCTGGACCTGCAGGCCTGCATCGACCTGATTGAGAAGGTAAAACATGACTCAGGGCACAGGAATGGTACTGCTGGTAGATGGTTTGTTTGCAAAGGCTGGAGCAGTGAGAGGTGCTCTGCTACCAAGATTAAATTACCCCCTCCCCAGTCAGTGGCAAGTGCCCAACTTTATTTTCCCCACACTTACAGCTCAGAGTCTCCAGCCAACAGAGACCTTTTTGACAGAAATTCTGACTTTATGAACCCATGGAAATTATGTTCCTGTGCACTGGTGAGCCACAAAACCTGGTGCAGCCTTTTCCTCCAGAGAACTGCCCTTTTTTTCCTCCCCACTTGCTGCCTCTCAGTGCCTCTTACTTGATTCAGAGCATCTTGTAGAAAAGATCTTCATGCATGAAGGAAACTCACCTTTTTTGACAGGGAAAGGAGAAAATCTGTCAGGATAGTGGGGAGGATCTCCCCTTCCCAACAATCTAAAGGAGCTGGACAAGCTCCCATGTCTTGCAGGCCTGGCCAGTCCCACTCAGACTGGCTGGAGGTCAGATGCAGCCTGGAATATGCCAGTGATAGCTTGGTGTCTTGCACCTGAACCCTTGTTCAGGTCTCCCAACTCCAGCTTTGCCTCACCTTGCTCAGTGGCACACCCCTGTTCTGAGATGGGACTTGGCAACTCTGAGCTCAGTCCTGTTCATACCCCCTTCTCCCTGCAGCCAATGGGAATCCTGTCCATCCTCGAAGAGGAGTGCATGTTCCCAAAAGCTTCTGACATGACCTTCAAATCTAAGCTCTACGACAACCACATTGGGAAGTCTCCCAACTTCCAGAAGCCCCGTCCGGATAAGAAGCGGAAATACGAGGCCCACTTTGAGGTGGTGCACTATGCGGGTGTGGTACGTCCCTGGCAGCTCTTCCACAGCATTCCCACCTTCCCCTGGCAGGGACAGGGCTGTCCTCACCTCTGCCTCTCCTGTGACAGGTGCCCTACAACATCATTGGGTGGCTGGACAAGAACAAGGACCCCCTGAATGAGACAGTGGTGTCCATCTTCCAGAAATCCCAAAACAAGCTCCTGGCTTGTCTCTATGAGAACTACGTGGGCTCTGCTTCAGGTGAGGAGCACCCCCAACCCTTTTTTGACCTTGGTCTCCCCCTCCCTTTGCAGCAAAACCTTCTCACCCCCATGCCCAGCTGTTGGTGCAGCCTGGGCAAAGGGAAGACCCACATTGATCCCTAAAAACCTCCCTGGCCTGGATAGGTGGGTGCTGGCCTAAGGGCTTTAGGTGTGTGGTCAGGACCAGGCTGAGCTGGTGTGGGGCTGTAGGGCTGTCCTGGAGGCCCTGTGACTTTGGGGTGTGTGAAGGGGTCTCTTGTTAGCAGGAGCTGAGGAGCAACACCCAGAATTGGGCTCTGTGGGAGATGTTTTTGGTGTCTTTGGCTTTGTTCTGCAGCAGGGCACAACTACCTCTGCTTTACAGAGAGTGGGGGCTGTGGGCATTTCAAGGGTGTTTGGGGGGTGCTCCTGAGTCCTCCAAGCTGAGGAGATGTTTTGCTGATGTAATCAATATTTCAACCCAACAGAGGAGCCTCACAAGCCGGGGACCAAGGAGAAACGTAAAAAGGCAGCTTCTTTCCAGACAGTGTCGCAGCTGCACAAGGTAAGAGCCAGCCCCTCATCCAAGGCATTGAGGGAAACGTGCTCAGAGGGTCCCATGGCACTCCCACTTCCCTGCCAAGACTCTTGGCATCTTGCACATGAGGTCCTCTGGGCTGAAGGACCCCCAGAGCTCCTCAAGGACCCCCAGAGCTCCTCAAGGACCACCTCTAGGCAAAATGTCCCAACACCCTCTCATCTCTGAGCAAAGGGCCTGTGCCTGGCAGAGTCCCAGCCCTGTCCCCGTGCTCCTAGGGCAGGACATGAGGTGGTGGCTCCCTTGGAGCTGGGGCTTGTGCTGCTTCTGCCCACGTGACGCTTGCGCTGCTCGGCGGCTCCTTCGCCTTTGAGAGAGCGGCAGTTAAGACTTGTAGTGATGTTTAGATAATGTATTACATGAACATCACTTTAAGTCTGTGCTACTTCTCTCCTCACTCTTACCAGCGGGAAGGACAACCTTTGGGCAGAAGAAAATGGAGGAGGATCTGGCAGGTCTCTGTCCTGGGAGGTGGCCTGGGCTGTTTTACAGCTCAGGGTAACACACATCCCTGTTCCATGCTCACCATAGGAGTTATTAGTCCAAGCCAGAGCTTAACCAACTGGAAAACAGCCCAGAGGGGTGTGTGGGCCCATGTCCTGCCATGACAGCCTCGTAGTGACGGGGCAGTGGTCACAGCACCAAGGCTGACAGAGCTCAAGGAGTGTTTGAACAACACTCTCAGGGACATCATGGGATTGTTGGGTGTCCCGTGCAGGACCAAGAGTTGGACTTGGATGATCCTTGTGGGTCCCTCCCAACTAGATATATTCCGTGATTCTGTGACAGGGTGCTTGAAGAGGCAGAGCCCCTGTTCAGGGAGAAGTGTGACTTTTTTTCTCCTGGACAAGTCACAGACCTTGGGGAAAGGTGTCTGTGGTGACAAGTTGCCCCATGGTGATGTGGAGCTGTGGGAGGGTGTTCCCTTCCCTGAGCTGGTCCTGAACAGGCTGAGCCTGTATGAGCAGGGGAAGGAAAGATTAAGGGTGCAGATGCTTTTCCCACAAGCAAAGTCAAGGCTGTGTCATGCCTTGAGCCCTGCCTGGGAGAGAAAGGAGGTGCAGTCTGGATTGGCAGGGCCCTCTGTCACAGCTGTAGGGGGTGAAGCACTGTGGAGGTGCAGGGAACTCCTGATGAGCCAAGGATTGCAGCCATTGTGGACCCCAGCACCAGAACTGCAGAGTGCTGAGCACAGGGCTGATGAGCACCAGGAGAGATCTGTACCAGGAATATGCTCAATCCTGTCTTCCTGGCTCTACCCCACAGCAAAACTTTACCTACAAATACTTGGGAAACATCTGGCTCCTCTCTGGCACAGCAAAACCTGCAGGTGCCACTTGGCTTGTCTGCCAGCCCAGTCCCCTCTGCCATGGCTCCCATCCTGGCAGGAGGCAGTGGTCCTGCCCCGGGCTCAGGATGTCCCACTGACAGGATAGCAGGAGGGAATTCCCCTTTTCTCATGACAAAAGGGGCTCTCAGGGTCTACTCTCTTCCTGCCTGGGAGGGGAAGGGGCTGGAGAGAAGTGTTGTAGGGGAGCAGAGCTGTCACCTCACCCCGTGTCTGCCCTGCAGGAGAATCTGAACAAGCTGATGACCAACCTGCGCTCCACCCAGCCCCACTTCGTGCGCTGCATCATCCCCAACGAGACAAAGACCCCAGGTATGGGTGGGCTGAGGCAGCAGCCTGGCAGTGCCCCTGGGGACACCCACATGTGGGAGCTGGCAGAGATTCTTGCACCCACCTTCTCCCCAACCCTTTTCATGCTGCCACTGAGCCCTGATCCCATCTCAGTGTTGATTCTCTGTGACCCAAGTCAATCTCCTCTGCTGGGGAGAAGGAGCTTTGCCAGACTTTTGGCTGTGCCTTGGTGGTTGGGCTGCTTTGCACTTGTATATAACAGCAGGCACAGATGAGTCTGTCAGAGTGACTCCCTCCATCTGAGGCCCAGGCTGCAGCCCTGGTGCTCAGCACGGACCTGCAGGATGGGTCAACACCCATGTTGAAACCACGGGATGTTTCCAGAGTTCAGACCCAGGCTGCAGCTCTGTTTACTCTGTCTTCTTGGGCTGAGCACCTGCTCCAGCTCTGTTCTCACCCACAGGAGCCATGGATTCCTTCCTGGTGCTGCACCAGCTGCGCTGTAACGGTGTCCTCGAGGGCATCCGCATCTGCCGGAAGGGATTCCCCAACAGGATCCTCTACGCAGACTTCAAGCAGCGGTAACTCCCTCTTCTTCCTCACCCAGCAACCCACACATGTTATGGGGGGAGACAAGACATGTCCTGGCTCTGATCTGCTCCCCAGCTTGTGCAGGGCTGGTCTGAACCCCCCCATACCCCCAGTGCGTGTACAGTTTGGGACAGCTCTGCTGCTGGCTCTGGGGTGCCAGACCTGGGTAGGTTGGTGCCAAACGGGATGAGATCTCATGAATGTCTGAGATGCTGAGTGCAGGGCTGGTGCAGGGGGATGGTGGCAAGGCTTAGGTCCTCTGATCCTGGCTCAGGTTTCTCTCTGCCCTGGGGATGGATCCTTGCCATTCTCCAGCTGGCCCCATCCACACTGCTTGGCCTGGGCCTGACCAGGCGTGGTAAGGCCAGTGACTCCTCCGTGCACAGTCTCCTGGTGCCTGCTCTGCAGAAGAGCCAGGACTGGAGCAGCTGGTTCATATGTTGCTCCAGCCTGTGCTGCAGCAACATGACTTTGGTGGGAACTGGCACGACCGGGATTCAGGGATGATGATGGAGCTGTGCTGCAGTTCCCCTGCATGTCCTCCCTCTGCTCTGTCCCTGCAGTTACCGTATCCTGAATCCAACAGCCATTCCAGAAGACAAGTTTGTGGACAGCAGGAAAGCCACGGAGAAGCTGCTGAGCTCCCTGGAACTGGACCATGCACAGTACAAGTTTGGTCACACCAAGGTGAGACCTGGCAGCTGGTCCTTGGGAGGGAGACATTGCCCCTCCCATCTCTCTCTGTTCCCATTGCCCACATGCTCAAGACAGGAGATCAGGTGCCTGTGCCCATGCAGGCACTCAATCCCTGCTCCATGTGTCTGCACACAGCCCAGGTTGTGTTCCCCCTGAGCCCTCTCTGCTGGGGACTCCATTCCCACTCTCCTCCCCACAGGTGTTTTTCAAGGCTGGTTTGCTGGGCTTGCTGGAGGAGATGCGAGATGAGCGTCTGGCCAAGATCCTGACCATGCTGCAGGCCAGGATCCGCGGATTCCTCATGCGCCTGGAGTACCAGAAGATCATCAGCAGGAGGTAGAGTTGGAGGGGGGAAGAGGCAGAGCTTTGTGTGTCTCCTTGTTCCTTCTGCACGTGTTTGCCCTGTAGGGCTTCCCTGTGTCTGGCAGTGGTTGGTGAAGGTCCTGTCCTGAGGGATGGAGGCAGACCTGGGAGAGGTCTGGCATGGCTCTAGTAGGGAGGATCTGGGGTGGGGGAGCCTTTAGTTTCTACTGGGAGATTCAGGGGGAGGCAGAGTGAAGAGACCTGAAAGCCAGGCCACACTATCCATCCCACCAGGGCCAGTCCGGTGTGCAGACAATGATTCATCCATCATTCTGCCATTTATCCAGCTGGTGGAGAATGGAACCATGTTCAGGCCTGCAGAGGCCAGGATGGGACATGGGAAATCTACACCCCTGATGATGCTGTACTTGTATTCCCCCAGGGAAGCCCTCTATACCATCCAGTGGAACATCCGGGCCTTCAACGCTGTCAAGAACTGGTCCTGGATGAAACTGTTCTTCAAGATCAAGCCTTTACTCAAGTCTGCTCAGACTGAGAAGGAAATGTCCAACCTGAAGGAGGAGTTCCAGAAGCTGAAGGAGGCTCTGGAGAAGTCTGAGGCTAAGAGGAAGGAGCTGGAAGAGAAGCAGGTCTCCATGATCCAGGAGAAGAATGACCTGACTCTCCAGCTTCAGGCAGTGAGTGCCTCACCCTCTCTCTGGAAGTGCAAAGACAGTGCAGGGTCCATGGGTAGAGGAAGGAGCAGAGTGTGGTAGATCCCTCCTCCAGCCTCTTGTAGTTCTGAGGCTGCCTCGTGGCCACAATCTGTTGGGAATGAAATGTAAGAGTGTGCAAACTGGAAGCAAACTCCCATCTCAGGGATGTCCCCTGGCTCTGGAAAGGGAGGGATGGCAATGTTTGCTCACCAAACTGTGGCTCATCTGTGCCATTTCTGTGCCAAGAAGTGCCAGTCCAGTGTTTCCTTCCTCTGGAAAGATTTAGTTGCTTTTTGGCCCTGGTTCAATGTTAGTGGTTGTCCCTTGAACCTTGAAAATGGGCAGTGGCTGTATTTTTTGTACACCTGAGCACCTTGGGCTTGCTCTACCCATTCCACACGGAGAACTTCAGCTCTGGGCCAGAACACCAGGACTCAGAGCCTGCTGGTGTGCTCTGGGACAGTGGATGAGCTCTGGCTCTCCTGTTCCTCTCCCAGGAGCAAGACAACCTGGCAGACGCCGAGGAACGCTGTGACCTGCTGATCAAGTCCAAGATCCAGCTGGAGGCCAAGGTGAAGGAGCTGATGGAGCGTGTGGAGGACGAGGAGGAGATGAACTCAGAGCTCACCGCCAAGAAACGCAAGCTGGAGGATGAGTGTGCAGAGCTGAAGAAGGACATCGATGACCTGGAGATCACTCTGGCCAAGGTGGAGAAGGAGAAACATGCCACAGAGAACAAGGTAAGAGACCTCCCTGGAGCCTCAGTGCTTGTGGGGGCACCAGAGGCACATCAGGTGTGGGGGAGCTGGGGTAGGGCAGAGTGAAAAGGGATGTGGGAGAGGGAAATCAACCCCAGTGTCCTGTCTCCTTGCCCAGGGGGGTGTGGGCAAATGGTTCTGTGCTGTGGGCAAGTGATTTGGGGCACTGACAAACCCCCTGGTGGGACCAGCATGGCCAAGGGAGAAGGGCTGGCTGCTGTTGGGGTGCTGAGCTGCTGTTGGCCATGGACCTTCTGCCTTTCAAGGGTCAGGCTGCTGAAGCAGCTCTCCACCCCCCTCTCTCTGAGAAGATGAACTCAGTTTTTGACTGCCCTTGTTTAGGTTAAAAACCTGATTGAGGAGATGGCTTCTCTGGATGAGATCATTGCCAAGCTGACAAAGGAGAAGAAAGCCCTGCAGGAGGCCCATCAGCAGGCCCTGGATGACCTGCAGGCTGAGGAAGACAAGGTCAACACGCTGACCAAAGCCAAGGTCAAACTGGAGCAGCAAGTGGATGATGTGAGTGTAGACCAGTGGCAGTGAAGCAAGAGAGGTTTGAGTCACACTTCCAGGAGAGCCCAAAGGCTGTCCCTCAGTGGGATCTGGAGAGTGGGGTCATTAGCAGATTCCCATTTAATATGGCCAGTTGAGGAATAACCCCATTAGCAAACTGTCCCTGAACCAAGGGGTGGCCTAGAGCACTTCAGGGAGAGCAGTCCTGGGCTGAGGGAATGGGACTGGAGACCAACTGGGAAACACCTCTGTCTCTCAGGGATGGGTGAACTTCCCACAACAATGGACACAGGAAGGGTGGGGCTGCAGAGGGTCCTTTCCTTCCCTATCCCATCTCCCTTCATTCTCCAGCTGGAAAGCTCTCTTGAACAAGAAAAGAAGATCCGCATGGACCTGGAAAGAGCTAAGAGGAAGCTTGAGGGAGACCTGAAGCTGACACAAGATTCTATAATGGATCTGGAGAATGACAAACAGCAGCTGGAGGAGAGGCTCAAGAAGTGAGTGTGTGACATGTGCCTGGGCTCTGGGTTTGCTCTGCTCCTCTAAATGGGGCCTCTGTGTGGCCTCTGCAGGGGCTGCAGGGATGTGGCTTCTGGGCACTGCTGGTGTGACCAGTCCAGACAAAATGAGGGCTGAGTTATCCTGGGCACTTTGCAGGGTTGCTGAGGAGCTTGTGAGCTACACAGACTCATAGATCAGGGCACTATAGACCTTGGGGTGCATTGGGTTGGAAAGGAGGGACCTGCCTGGCAGGACCCAAACAGAGCTGGGACCTCAGCTACAAGTACAGACTTCATCACTCATGTCCTATTTATGCTGGGGAGCTGAAGAATGCCTTGGGACCTCAGAAGGAAACCCTCAGAGCCAGCTGTCTGCAAGTTTGGCCACTCCAGCCCTCCCTGAGAGCCTTCCATGAGCTGCTTCTTACCCCTGCAGTCCCTTTCCTGTGTGGGTTTGTTTGTCCTCTAAGCCTGGGTGTTACAGGGAACTTCAGAAGCCAGAAGGACATGTCAGGACAGTGTTTGTCTTCTTTCTGTGCAGGAAAGACTTTGAACTCAGTCAGCTGAATTCAAGGATTGAAGATGGGCAGGTGACTGAGGCCCAGCTGCAGAAGAAGATCAAGGAGGTCCAGGTATGGTGGAAAGAGCTGTTCTCACAGCCCAGGAGTCCAAAATTGCCCTCAGATGTAATGTGCTGGGGAATCTGCATGGGCCAGTCCCTCTCTGAGCACAGAGGCATCTCCTTGGAAAAGGAGATGGACAAAGCTGGTTAGCAGAAGCAAAGCCCTCTGCCAAAGTGTGGTGGGCTGAAAATTAAAGAATGAACTATTGAGGTGAGCTCTAGCACCAGCCTGAGGGACAGCTTCTAGAATGTAGCTCTGTGTCCAAAATAAAACCTTTGATCAGCGCCCAAACTCTGAAAATCCAAGTCTGGTGTGCTGGGCTTCTTCCTATTGGAGACAGGTCCCCACATTCATGGAAGTTCCCATCACAAGAAGCTGATACCAGCCTGGATCCTGATGGCAGGGCACAGAGGAGAGCAGGACATGCACAAAACACTTCCAAGGAGCACCAGGAATGCCTGCCTCCCAAAACAACCCGAGCATTTGCTCCAGACTTGTGTCTTGTTGCTCCCCATCATCTCTGGAGACAACTTGCTCCATTGTGCAGAGCAAAGATGCCAGAGCTCCACCCAGAGCTTGGAGCATCTGGCTCGCTCTGTCCCTGCAGGCCCGTGTGGAGGAGCTGGAGGAGGAGCTGGAGGCCGAGCGCGCGGCCAGAGCCAAGGTGGAGAAGCAGCGGGCGGAGGTGTCCCGGGAGCTGGAGGAGCTCAGCGAGAGGCTGGAGGAGGCCGGCGGGACCACGGCCACGCAGCTGGAGCTGAACAAGAAGCGGGAGGCGGAATTCCTGAAGCTGAGGCGGGACCTGGAGGAGGCCACGCTGCAGCACGAGGCCACGGCGGCCGCGCTGCGCAAGAAGCACGCGGACAGCGTAGCCGAGCTGAGCGAGCAGATCGACAACCTGCAGCGCGTCAAGCAGAAGCTGGAGAAGGAGAAGAGCGAGATGAAGATGGAGGTGGACGACCTGTCCTCCAACGTTGAGTACATCACCAAGAACAAGGTGGGTGCTGGTCCTGCACGGGGCTGGTTTGTCTCGCCTGTGAACATCAGGGCAACTGGCGGTGGCGTGTCCGTGGGGTGTCCCAGGGAGCTCTTGCACTAAATCACAGAATCAACCAGGTTGGAAAAGACCTGTGAGATCATCAAGTCCAACCTTTGACCCATTACCACCTTGACTACTAAACCATGGCACTGATGCCACATCCAGTCTCTTCTTAAACACCTCCAGGGACAGTGGATCCACCCCCTCCCTGGGCAGCCCATTCCAATATCTGATTGCTCTCTCTGTAAATAATTTCTTCCTAATGTCCAACCTAAACCTCCCCTGGCACAGCTGCAGACCATGCTCTCTTGTCTTACTGCTGGTTACCTGGGAGAAGAGACTGACCCCCACCTGGCTACACCCTCCTGTCAGGGAGCTGTAGGGAGTGAGGAGGTCTCCCCTGAGCCTCCTCTTCTCCAGGCTCAAGAACCCCAGCTCCCTCAGCCTCTCCTCACAGCACTTGTGCTCCAGTCCCTTCCCCAGCCTCATTTCCCTTCTTTGGACACACTCCAGCCCCTCAGTATCCTTCCTGAACTGAGGGGCCCAGAACTGTACACAGTTTGCCATGGCTGAGTCCCTATTTTCCCCCCCTTGTCACTATGGCAGTGTTTTGCTTGTCCTAAGCAGAGTCCAGAGGCTCTGGGAAGGCATTTCCTGGGAGAGAGAGTTCAGAGAGCCACTGTCAGCTTAGCAGAGACACGAGATCCCTGGCAGGCTCCTGCTCCCTGCCTCGTGTGCCTGTGGGATCTGCTGAGCAGGGCAGCGAGTCCCAGGCTGGGAGAGCAGTGCTGCCAGGCCTGAGCTGGGCTCACAGGGGCTGTGCTTGGTGCCCGCAGGCCAACGCTGAGAAGCTGTGCCGCACCTACGAGGACCAGCTGAACGAGGCCAAGTCCAAAGTGGACGAGCTGCAGCGGCAGCTGACGGACGTGAGCGCAGCGGGGCAGGCTGCAGACTGAGAACGGTGTGTGGGGCAGAGCGGGGGGCACGCGGCTGCCTCGGGGCTGCTCTGGGTGGGAGTGCCAGGGCACAGCCAGGCAGGCTGTCCTCCTTCCCCTAAAAACCCTAGCTGGGCATCAGAAGGAGGGGTTCCTTTGCCTTTAGCTGCTTGCACCTCTGCCCCTGGCCCAGCTTGCCCATGTTGGATACAGCTGGGCCTGCTGAAGGCAGAGACCCTGGGGAGTGCAGGGGAGTGCAGATTGCAGCCCTTCAGCCCCAAAGTAGCTGGTTTTGCTCTGTTTGAACCCAGGGGAGCTTAGTCGGCTGCTGGAGGAGAAGGAGTCCTTCATCAACCAGCTGAGCCGTGGCAAGATCTCATTCACACAGAGCATCGAGGAGCTCAAGAGGCAGCTGGAGGAAGAGACCAAGGTGAGGCTTCTAGAGCATGGCTGATCTGGGAGTGACAAGGATCACAGGGAATGGGGCGTGTGTCACACTGTGGCAGTGGCTCAGGCTCTTGGACTGGGGAGGTGGGACACACCCTGCACACAGGGCAGCTCTGAACCTGGGAAGAACCTGGGAAGAACAGAAGTTCCCTCCTGCTGCTCCCAGTGCCACGGCCAATGTCCTGGAGCTTGGGGCCAGCTGCTGCTCTGACAAGGGCTGCTCTCCCTCCCTCAGAGCAAGAATGCCCTGGCCCATGCCCTGCAAGCCTCCCGGCACGACTGTGACCTGCTGCGGGAGCAGTACGAGGAGGAGGTGGAGGCCAAGAGCGAGCTCCAGAGGAACCTGTCCAAGGCCAACGCCGAGGTGGCCCAGTGGAGAACCAAGTACGAGACTGATGCCATCCAGAGGACTGAGGAGCTGGAGGAAGCCAAGTAAGTCCCATGGCACGAGTTGGGTGGCAAGTTTCCATTCACCAGCGGGGCTGCCCTAGACACCAGGGCGACCCTTCCACAGGGATTTGAGGCTGCTCAGAGCAGTGGGGTGGGGTGGCACTCGGGCAGGGAGCGCTCACCCTGGCTGCCGTGGGCAGGAAGAAGCTGGCCACCCGGCTGCAGGAGGCGGAGGAGGCCGTGGAGGCCGCCCACGCCAAGTGCTCCTCGCTGGAGAAGACCAAGCACCGGCTGCAGACGGAGATCGAGGACCTCTCGGTGGACCTGGAACGCGCCAACTCCGCCTGCGCCGCCCTGGACAAGAAGCAGCGCAACTTCGACAGGATCCTGGCCGAGTGGAAGCAGAAGTACGAGGAGACCCAGGTGGAGCTGGAGGCGTCGCAGAAGGAGTCGCGCAGCCTGAGCACGGAGCTCTTCAAGCTCAAGAACGCCTACGAGGAGTCCCTGGACCACCTGGAGACCCTCAAGAGGGAGAACAAGAACCTGCAGGGTAGGAGTGGGCTCAGGCTCTCCCCTTGGGCTCTGCCCAGGCTCCTGCTCCCTGTCCTCAGGGGGATATTGGGTCCCTTCTTGGCAGAGAGCAGACCTTGCTGCTCAGCCCATCCCTTGGAGGGATACAGCAGCCCTGCCAGGATGCCAAAACATGTCCTGCCCCCTTGCTGGGGCCCTCGGGGAGGTCAGGCAGAGCCACTTGGCTCCTCTTCCCACATGGTGCATGATTTGCTGCCAAGTGCCACGGCTGTGGCATGACACTGCCTTGGGGGTGTTGCTCTTGGACAAACAGGTCTCCCCAGGTACTTAATGCCTCTCCCATTCCCTCTCCTTCACCCAGACTTCAGAAATGTCCCCAAGCACAACCTCAGCTGCCCTCCAAGGGGCTGGGGAGACATCAGCTGAGCCTGGGGCAGTGGGATGGGGATGTCACCTTCACAGGACTGGTCCCATAAACTCCTTCCTGACCAAATGCCTTCTGTCCCTGCCAGAGGAAATTGCTGATCTGACTGACCAGATTAGTCTGGGTGGCAAAACCATCCATGAGCTGGAGAAGGTGAAGAAAGCCCTGGAGAGTGAGAAGAGTGATATCCAGGCAGCTCTGGAAGAGGCTGAGGTGGGTCCTTGTTTTCCACGTGTTCCTGCTGCCCCCAGGAGCCACTGGCCCACCCTGCAGCTCTGGTCAGGTGCTGCTGGAGGGTGACAGTCCTGAGCCAGGCTCTAACCCCTGGGAGGTTATTCATGGGAGTCCTGCAACCACTGCAGGCACAGGGGTGGTTCCACCTGCCTTGTTCCCCATAATGCTGGGCTAGGGGGCAAGGCCAGGCTGCCAGGCTGGAGTGGGTGACCCCCCTTCAGGAACCACTTTCCCATGGCTGAGGTGTTTCTAGGGAGCCCTGGAGCATGAGGAGAGCAAGACTCTGCGCATCCAGCTGGAGCTGAACCAGATCAAGGCTGACATGGACAGGAAGCTGGCAGAGAAGGACGAGGAGTTTGAGAACCTGAGGTGTGTGGGGTGAGGGGACAAGGCTGGGCAGTGGCTGTGGGGGCAGAGCTGACACCGTGGCCCTGGCAGGGCTGCCCCAGGCTGGGTGTCCCCAGGGGGCCGTGGCTGATTCCCCATCTCCCCCGCAGGCGCAACCACCAGCGGGCCATGGAGTCCATGCAGGCCTCGCTGGACGCAGAGGCCCGGGCCAAGAACGAGGCCGTCCGGCTGAGGAAGAAGATGGAGGGAGACCTGAACGAGATGGAGATCCAGCTGAACCACGCCAACCGCCAGGCTGCCGAGTTCCAGAAGCTGGGCCGCCAGCTCCAGGCCCAGATCAAGGTCGGGCGGTCACAGTGGGACAGGTTGGGTGCTGTCCCTGCCCGGCCCCCTCCTGACCCCACTGACCCCGCACTGCCCCACAGGACCTGCAGATCGAGCTGGATGACACCCAGCGCCAGAACGACGACCTGAAGGAGCAGGTGGGGGCCCTGGAGCGCCGCAACAACCTGCTGCTGGCAGAGGTGGAGGAGCTGCGCGCCGTGCTGGAGCAGGCAGAGAGGAGCAGGAAGCTGGCAGAGCAGGAGCTGCTGGAGGCCAGCGAGAGGGTCACCCTGCTCCACTCCCAGGTGGGGCACTGCCACGTCCCACATCTCTGCTGGCAGGAGAGCCAGGAGCCTCTCCACTGGCCACGGTGAAGGGCCAGCCCTGGTCACACTGAACCTGCTCTGTGTGCAGAACACAGGCCTGATCAACCAGAAGAAGAAGCTGGAGGCAGACGTCTCCCAGCTGAGCGGTGAGGTGGAGGACGCGGTGCAGGAGTGTCGCAACGCCGAGGAGAAGGCCAAGAAGGCCATCACAGATGTAAGAGCGTGGTGGGCACTGTGCTGGGTGGTTCTGGGAGGAGAAGGGAGGGTCTCAGAACTTGCCCCTGTGTCTGGCAGGGCTGCCTGGCCTTGTGGTGATGCCCCCTTGCTTTTGGCCTGGCAGGCTGCCATGATGGCAGAGGAGCTGAAGAAGGAGCAGGACACAAGTGCACACCTGGAGCGGATGAAGAAGAACATGGAGCAGACCATCAAGGACCTGCAGATGCGCCTGGATGAGGCAGAGCAGATTGCTCTCAAGGGGGGCAAGAAGCAGATCCAGAAGCTGGAGGCCAGGGTGAGAAGGCAGGGGCAGATCCCTGGTTTTGTCCCCCAGAAACCAGTTCCTGGTGCTGCCCTGGCCCCTGGGGGGGCCAGGTGGTGCTGTGGGGGGACCAGGGGACAGTCCCCAAGGACCTGCGAGCCTGGGCCCGGCTCCCAGCCTGTGCTCAGGGTGGTTTAGCCTCTGCTGTGGCTTCTCTGAGCTGGGAAGGTGACTTGGCCTCATCTGGGCTGGCGCTGGTGCCCATGAGCAGGGTGCTGAGCCGGGCTATGCCCACCTGCAGGTGCGGGAGCTGGAGGGAGAGCTGGACACGGAGCAGAAGAAGATGGCTGAAGCCCAGAAGGGCATCCGCAAGTACGAGAGGAGGATCAAGGAGATGAGCTACCAGGTACAGGAGCACCAGGCACAGCCCCAGCACAGCAGGGCAGACAACTCCCTCTGCCAGCCTCTTGTGTTTGACAATAACCCATCCACTGAGCCCAGCCCAGCCTGGGCTTGTTCTGGGCTCTGTGCAGGGACTGACACGGGTGGGACAGGTTTGTCTCTGCCACAACATGCACATCCTGCTCTGTGTCCTTCTGCCCATTTCCCAGCAGCTCCTGAGCTGGGTGATGGGACACAGGGAGGGAACCAGGGGGCAGATGCTGTGACAGGGGGCTGGGTTGGCCTTTGTGTGTGTAGGGCCCTGGCACCACTGGGACTCTCCGAGAAAGGTGGGGGGCAGGTGGATCCCCAGTGGGGGGGCTGCTGGGGTCCTGCTGACAGAGCTGGGGCATTGCAGGCTGAGGAAGATCGGAAGAACCTGGCTCGGATGCAGGACCTGATTGACAAGCTGCAGAGCAAGGTCAAGAGCTACAAGCGCCAGTTCGAGGAGGCCGTAAGTGCCCAGACTGCTCTCCGGGGATGGGGGACGGGGCTGTCCCTCCCTGGGACCCTGGCATGGCTGCAAGGGGCCTCGAGGGCGATGTGGGGAGCTGTGCCCCAGACACCCACCCTTCCCCTCACCCCATCCAGGAGCAGCAGGCCAACTCCAACCTGGTGAAGTACCGCAAGGTGCAGCACGAGCTGGACGACGCCGAGGAACGCGCCGACATCGCCGAGACGCAGGTGAACAAGCTGCGCGCCCGCACCAGGGACGTCGTCCTCTCCAAGGTGAGCACACCTGGACTGGGGCAGTGGGGAGGAGGGCAGGGCTCCTGCCAGCCCCCAGACCACACAGCCCACGGCCACATCCTGCCCTGGCACTGCTGCCCTCACCTCCCACTGCTGCCGGGACCTGAAGGCTGGCACAGCGCTCCGTCCTCCAGGTCCCAGCTCTCACCAAAGCCCTTTTGGATTTTTTTCCAGCATTAGGAGCCTGGGTGCCCACCCTGCCCTGTCCCAGCTGCTGCTGTAGGTTGGAGGCAAGTGGCTGCAACAGCCACTGCCAGCTTTGCACCGTGTGAATAAATGTAGCTCTGCCAGGACTTGCTCTGTTGTGTCTGTCCCAGGGTAACCTTGGCCACTGATGACAGGATGTGGGGCCAGCTGGGATCTTTGGGAACATCTTTTCACAGCCAGGTAGGGGCAGAGGAGAGGTCCAGGCCTTGTCCTTCCAGCTCTACAGCCCTAGCTTGGGATGGGTTTTGGGAAAAGAGCCCTTTCCTCCTCCCTCCCCACCAAAACACATCTCTCATCTGCAGGGGGCCAGAGCTGAGGGGTGAGGCAGGACAGGGGGGCAGAACAGACCTCACCCACTACTCCTGAGAACATAAAACCCCCAACTACAGCCCTGCAGGGCACAGGGAGGGTTGTTACAGCTTTGGCAAAGTCACCGCAAAGAAAGACACCTCCGCTCATTTCTTGAAAATAGATTTCTTTAATAGTTTCCATTTAATATGTTTATTTGCAGTTAGTAAATTGGCATTAATCAGGGCAGCACGAACCTCAGCAAACCATGGGGACAGTGCAGACTTCCCGAGGTATTTGTTAAATGACAGGGGTCCTACTTCCTCCCTGTCCCAGCTCCCAACCTGCTGCCACCTCTGTGGGGCCAGTGGGCTCTCCCAGCACCACCTGCCCCTGCTCTCCATAAATAACACACAAGGATGAAGGACAGAGGGGGTCTGGTCCCTCTCAAAATGAGATTCTTGAAGCATCTGGCACAGACAGACGAGCCCCCAGGAATGTAGCCCCAGTTAGGATGTGTCTGTGACCCTCTGCACTGGGGCAGAGCCTCTCCCTGGAGCCCAGCTCCATCCTTGGAGGAGCTGCCATGGGTTTCTCCCCTCTGCCTTTCTCTGCCCCTCCTGCCTCAGCCCCAAAGCAAAAGCCAAGACACCTCAAACAGGTGAGGACCCAAACATGCCTGTGCTCCCAGGCCTGGGAGCAGGTGGGGTGGTGTGGGCTCAGCTCAGCCTCCCAGGGGCTGCTCAGCCCCAAACGGACCTTAAAACACAGAGAGGGGGGTGAGACTGGGCAGGGTCAGAGCAGCAGCCAGTGGATGCACCAATCAACTACAGTATGGAAAAGGCATCCCTTAACTTAAAAGCCTTTTAATTTGAAGCATTTATTTGAAGTGTACATCTATTACAGTTAAGAAGAAGCAAAGATACACCAAAAACACAAATACCCAAGAACAAAAAAGTACAAATGAGAAAGAGACAGGTCCTGCCCTCGGGACTGGAGCCTTGTTCACTCCTCCACCCCCAGCACTGGGAGCCTCAGTGGGACTCATTCTGCTGGAAATGACAAGACACAAAATGCTGCCGGCTCTGGGACACCCTCAGCCCTCTGGAGCCTGGACAGAGCTGAAGTCAAGTCATCTCATAAAATAAATTAGAAAATGTAAAAAAAAAAAAAAAAAAAATCCAGATGCATGTTTCAAAACTGGTTTCTTTTAGCTGGAACTGCAAGACACTTTTTTGACTTAAATGTAGTGGCTGCATCTCATTCCTGGAAATCTGACTATCTTGGATAACACAGTGTTGGTGAGCAGGCAGGGCAAGTGCAGGTTTGGCAATGAGAACTGCCAAAACCCAATTCCCCCCTTCCCAACATCTCCTACAAAGTTACTTTCAGGAACAGGAGTGTTTATTCCCAGCATTTAACACATTCTGATTAAAACAGATGCAGGAAATACGGACATCTCCAGTAAATATTGCACTTCAAGATTAATGTGTGTGTTGATATTAAGGACTGAAAGCAAGAGACTGACATAAGACTTCCAGGCATAGCAGGTTAACATCAAGAGCAATGGTCCTGAAAAGGATTTTAAAACCAGATTAGTTACCCAAGAGAAGGGACAAGCCGCAAGTTTAAAAAATTAGTACATTTTAATGCTAGTGCTCCGTGAAAAAGCCAACCCCTGTTGCAATTCCACCACTGCTCAAATGTCTCTGTTCTCTGCAGCTTTGTAAAACACCTCCAGGTGGAAAGGATCTGCAGGAAAGACAGCAGGAGCAGAGGTTCTCTCCTAATGCACAGATTTAGTACCAAATGATCCAAAAGGAGATGGTGAAGAGGTGACTGGAGCTCTCAGGAATTAAAAGCACACACACACACTCATACACTCATGCTCTACCCAACCCTAAACCCCTGATTCCAAACCCCAGCAGAAGGGTTACACCTGAAGGGGGTCCCCGTGGGGGCTCTGCACGTGGCTGGTGTTGGGGTCCTGGTCAGACTGGCTCCTTGGACCTCACATTTGGAGGGCAATTGCTGTGCTTTTGATTTGCCATGAGAGAGCCACAACTCAACTGGCACATACAGAGTATCCTCACTGTCAGCAAAACCATCTCTGACCAACCCCGCTGGGCCGGGAGAGAGAGAGAGAGAGAGGAAAAAAAATAACAGAGGCTGGTATTTGCAGGTGGTTATTTTTATCCCAGAACAACTGGAAGATACATCCCTGAATGTGTTGCCCAGAGAGCTGCCCAAAGTCTCATCGGTCAGAGATCAGAGCTGGGGACCGGGAGGGGCCGGGGTTTGACAGTGCTCCTCACACTCACACACACACACACACTCACACACACACTACACAGCGTATCCCTGAAAATCCACGGGCTGCAAGGGACCCTCCAAGTGCTGTCCATCGGGAGCTGGAGCCCAGGGTTACTCCTCCACAAAGTCTCTGTCAATGTCCATGTACGCCTCGTCGATGTAGCTCACTATGGCACAGGGGGACGTCCGGTCCGGACTGAGCAGTATAGATACAGTCTCTTTCCAGTAGGTAAAACTAATACAGGAGCTCTGTGGGGAGAGAGGAAAGGGTGGTTGGGGTGGCCCACAGCACCAATATGCAGCATGAGACTCATCCCAAAGGCACTCAGCAGAGAGAACTGGAAACTGCTTCCTTGCTCATCCCGAGCTCTCCCCAGCCCGACCGTGTAACCAACGCTTTGGATTCATCACCCAGCCCTCCCTCCCTGGGGCCTGCAGCAGAAGGGCTGAATGAACCAACACTCCCTCCACAACCAGCCTCCCACTATCCAGTATATACAGAGGTACAAGATACAGACATGTATGCCTCCACACAGGGACTGCCAGCACCTCTCCCTGGGCCACCCACACCACCCCAAACTGTCCCTCTGCTGTCCAGTCTGAGCACACTCTGTGTCCCTGCAGTGCTGCAGGTACTGGCAGTACCTCCCACCCCTGGGAAGACACAAAGGCAACACCCCCTCCCTGCTCACAACCCTCCTGCATCATTCCCTGAAAGCCAAAAGGCCACTCTGGCAGCCCAACACATATGATGTGTTATCCACAGCCTTTACACACTGGACTAGTTATTCCCACCCATCCTCCTCCTCCATCACACTCCTCCTGTCTGGGAACTCCTTATTTTCTCTACTTCCAAAGCCCTAATGCTGCTCCACCTCAGGTACCTCATCCATAGGAGCTTTCTGAACTGAAGGGAGTTTTTCCTTGAACTCATTAAAAATCTGTTAAAGCTGCCACCCAATCACTAAAAAGTCAATGAAGAAACCTGTACAACCTCACTTCACCTTCCCTATACAAGGGAGTTGCCTTCTCATCACAGGTCATTTCTACCCCAGTGCCCAACACAGACCAGCTCTGGGGCAGAAGCCTGCAGGCTGCTCTCCACAGGGCAGCTCCTTGTCTTCCAGCAGCTGCACCAGATAATTTCCTGCACTGTTTGCCACTCCAGGAAGAGGGAACAGCCTGGTTAAGGTGCTGACTAGTCTGGGAGCTGCATTTTGTCCTGCCAGCCCTGCCTCTCACCCCACTCAGCACTGGCAAGTCTGTGTGCCAGAGCCAAGACCTCAGGTTTTGTTTGCAGGGAAACCCAGCAGCTGCCTTGTGGCATCCTGACTGTGTGAGATGGTGTTAAAAACACTGCAGGAGTTACACTGCGGGCAGAACTTCCCCCCTTCTTTCCCTTCACAACCTCCCACTTCCCATTCCCGTGGTGACTGGCAGGCAGGTATTGCTGTGGTCGATCCCTGCTGTGGTCAGAGGGTCACATACATTTTCTAAGCAGGTGCTGTCTTTATCCTTGTTGAGGTAATGCTGCTGCCAGAATCGCAGGAGGCTGTGGAAGTTGTTCAGGATGAATCCAGGGTACTTTTCCGTGTATTCCATCTGTTGCAAGGTGCGCAGGTAAAAGGGGAGCTTTTCTTTCCTTCGGGCCAGCATTAGGATAACTAAACTTGTGTTCAAACAACTGACGTTTTCCTGAGGGTAAAAATGACACAGCAAACAAAAAAATATCAAGATGCTGGTTGTAAACATGTCCTTACAAAATATGCTTGTGGAAAGCAGGCACAGGAGGTGCTCCTGCACACAGCAAGGAGGAAGGGCCATGGATTTCCAAAAGAGGCTCCTCCCTGCTCCCAGCTCTGCTCATCACTCCAGTACCAGCAAGGTAACTGAAGTTACTGTCAGCTCTTTACCTGTGTGAGTGTCTGTACATGGATAATATTGATGAGACGGAAAAGGAAGGACATTCTCATGGACATCTGGGACATGTAGGACAGGAGGCGGCACTCGGACAGGACCTCTGCCACTGCAGTGAGAGAGACACAGTCAGCAGGTGCTGCAGGGTCAGACACGCTGGTCCAAGCACCAGGGCAGCAGGAACTGGTGCTCAGACTGCAGAAACAAACTTTCAGGGTGGCATTTCCCTCTGCCTGCACCCCAAATTTTCAAAAGCCCAGATTTAAGGTATTCCCACCAAACAGAGCCCACCCCACTCCTCACTGTTCACCTTTAGCATCAGACTGGTTCTCAAACCGGTCCAGGGACAGGGTGATGCAGCGAACCAGCATGTTTGAGTCAACCAAGGAACTGTTGATCTGGTTTAAAAATATCTGGAACTGAAGAGAAACCCTTTTTAGTGTCAAATTAAAGTAATTAAATATATAAATACTCAGGGCCGTGACCTTTTTGTCATCTCTAACAAAATATATCTGCCTCATCCAGCCCAACACTGGCACTGAGGGCTGACCAAAGGATCCCTACACCAAGTGCCTTTAAATCACTGTGGAACAGAAAAATGCCAGAGTCCTGGCATTCCTAAAATATTTTGTGAAGTCCCACTCCAACGAGAGCAAGATTTCATACACTCTTTGTTTTGAAAGAGGGAGACTGGACAGCATTGGCTGCTGGCCTCTAATTCCTCCAGCTCCATGTTTTCCTACACTTACTTTATACAGGCAGTCCTAGGGAGGAATAATACAATGAGGGAGTCACACAGAATGAGAACTAAATTCAGTTATAGATCAATAAATAGGAAGCACATATGAAGTCTAAAGACATTCTCTAGAACGTAGGAGTTCATTTATTAGAGAAAAAAACAAAATTAAATACAACTTTCTTTTAAAATACATTTATACTTCCACTCTCCAAGGTCTGCCAGACCTAAGAGCAATGAGGGAAAAATCACAGTAACAGAAGCAAGAGTATGAGGCCATTCAGAACCTACCCAACAACTGATGTTATATGTACAAAGTGCACAAGAGCATGAAACCACTTTGCACAGAGCTGCCATCCTTGATTTACATGTGCAACTCAGTTTTATAGGTAATTACATCAGCCACGACTTCTGAAAATGGCTGTGAGTTCAAATAACATCAAAGATAAGACATCTTTTTGCAGCATCAAATATTAATGTTTGAATCCACGTCCATAAGAACTGCAAGCTCCAGTAAAAGACTTTTTGGAGCTGTCCCAATGTCCAGAACTATCAGTTTAACTCAAAACTCAGAGGCTTCCCAGGAAGTGCTCTGCCATCCTTGAGCCCTGACCTTAGACCTGCCTGATCATGTAACAGGGCAGTGTTTTCTGAACAGCTCAGCACTTGCTGACTCAGGACAGCAGGAGCACTGCTGAGAACTGAGTGTCTGCAGCAACTCACCTGCCTGTGCAGAGACTTTGGCAGCTCACCCCTTTAATGTTTATTGTGCCCCAAGCTCACCAATCACACCAAAACCAAATGAATCTGAGTTTTAGTGCTACCTCTGGCTATAAAAGTTTGTAATTTGACCCTCGGGGGACAGCTTTTGCAAATATTTACCTTCTCATCTGTGTTGATGTACTTGTTGAACCTCTTGAACGCATCAATATTGAATTTCATCAGTTCTCCCAGAAGGTCAAAGTAACTCTGGAGCACATCCCGTGATTTGCACTCGCTGTCAACAATGCAGTACAGAATATGCTGGTGGGGGAGGAAAACATGTTATTGCCACAGCTCAGGCCAAGCCAGCAGCACAACACAGATCTGGTTTAACCACTATTTAGAGCATTCATCTGCAGGATCAGTTCTTGGATGACTGAACTAAAGACAACAATTCAGATGAGCCTCCTGTTAAAATAACTTCCCACTGATGCAGGTTATACAACTGGCCACCACAAGTACAATTCACAGATGCTTTCCAAAAGTATTCCCAGAGAATGTTTAACATTTTTACCCACTTTTGAATTCACTGCAGATAAATCCCTCTTGATTGCTATGGAGGATGCTTGACATAGAGTTCCTTACCTCCAGGAGTCCTCTCTTGAGCAGGAACATCTGGTCTGCATAGGAGGTGGTGCCTCGAAGGAAACTTTCAACTGCCCTTGCCTGCCAAAACCTGAGAAATAGAAGAAATGAGGTGTTGATTTTGGAGCAAGGGCAGTACTGTATTACATCTGTAATTTCAACCCAGTTTCCTGATCTGTCCCATGACAATGGAGTCAGACCTGTCCCTGGCCATGTTGGTAGGAGTGCAGGGCAAGCTCTGGTGTTCTCCCTCACCTGCACTGCCACCACAGCACAGCAAAGCCAGGCCTTTCCCCACATTATGATTCTCAAGCATTCCCAGCTGAAATAAACTGTATGAAACCAAAGCTACATCCCAGGGATCTCAAACAGCACGTCAGAGTGCAGAGTGAACCCACCTGAAGGAGGACTCAGCTGGTTCCTTCTTCATGACCTGAAGCAGTCTGGTCAACAAACCTCTCTTCCCATCACAGACAAGGCTCCTGGAGCAGGTGAAGGAATGACAGCATGAGTGGGAGGGCTGGCAAATGCTGTACCCTACAAAATACTGAATCCAGTCTCTGCTCCAGAGCTTTTGGTGATCAAAATCTCAGTATTAAGTATATGGTACAACTATTGTGCCAGTTCTACCAGCAGAAGGGTTCCCCTCACTGCCTTTGGTAAATGTCTGCAACACCTGCAACATGACTTCCTAAAGAAGTCCTAAACAGAAGTCCTGACTTCCTAAAATAATCCTAAAGAAAAATTATTCATTTTCTCTCAAATCATTAATATTTCAGAAATACTAATTCACATCTTGCAGAAATAAAAATACTAGGAAAAAAACTCCCACATTTGATCTTAGGAATGAAAAACACACACCTTGCTCAAGAAGGAAGCTCTAAATCCCACTTAGGAGGCAGAGCAGAGTATGGAAACCTGGATGCTACATGAGATAACCTTGTTCTGTGTGGTGTAGTAAAAGTATAGAGACTACAACTGCAACACTAATTGTATTAAACATCTTCAGTGGAGTTTCCACCTTGTGCAGAAGCAATGCCTTGACCTCACATTTCAAGAGAAGCAACATGGAAACTAAATGCTGAAGCTGTAAAAACCCTCAAGTTCTTCCCAATTAGACACAGTATTATGATAATAATTATAATCTGGAAATCCTCTTAGAGGATTCCCTTTTGGAGCGAGGTAAATCTGCTCTGTGCAGCCCAAGTCCCTGCTAAAACTCTGGGAATATTCTGACAACTCAATTCTGCAAACTGTGTTCCACCTGGTGAGGTCTGTGCACCAGAATTGTGTGTTAAAGAGCTTATTGAATCAAAACAGTCAATCTAACAGATACTCCAATGTAACACCAGAGATTCTGTAAGTGGTTTAACGTGTTAATCTAATTTAGCTTATTCTGTTTATTAGCTGCTCTTAAAATACTCTGAGCAGACACCTGGATCTGTTCAAACAGCCTGGAAATGGACATTATGTGTGCACAGACTGCTCCTGAATCTCAAACCTCAGATTTATTAGCAGGAGCAATTAATGGATTAGAGGGATCAGGGTTTACTTTCCAGGTCTGTCTGCAATGCCTACTGTACAAGGCCAGACAAACAGTCAGAACTAGAATAACATAATAAAATCTGGGCCATGAACCTCCCCCATTTTGGGCTTTCCTTAAGGTTGCTTTTGTTTTTAAAACACTTTACTCTGAGCATGAGCACACTTTAGATTTGCTAATAGCCATCAATACCACACAAACCTGGACACTTCCTGCTGAAATGCATCACTGAAATTAAATGTGTGGTGGACAGATGGACCTCAAACAGAACAGAAGACATCAAACCTCCAACAGAGATGCTTAAAAACCTCCTAAATTGCTGCCCAAAGCCCTCTACTCCCTCTCACCTGTCAGTGTTGACAACTGCATCAACTTCAGGGATGTTGGCTTTGTGGGAGATTGCACTCAGCTCATTCAGTTCCTGGCTGTTTAGGAGGAGATACTTGTTCCTAAAGCAAGACAGCGGGGGGAGAAAACCAGGATGAATTCCAGAGGCAAACATGCAATTCCATGAGAAGTAAAGCCACAGGGCTGCAGGGCTGGGTAATCCTCTCTCACCTGGCTGCTCTTCACAGCATTCCCACCCCGCTCCCTCCCCCAGGCCAGACAGCTGCTGTTTGGTGAACCTGCTCCAAAATTCACCAAATTCCAGCTTTAGCACTGACCAGCTTTAAGATGATGGTTCTCTGCTGACTTTGTTCAAAATCTTATGGTTTGTAATTATTTTCTTCTTGTTTTTTTAAAATCTCAGCAACGTTCTGCTGAATTTCAGAAGACTTAAATAGCAAATTTTTCACACCTTCCCACAGTTTTTCTCTGCTTTATCATACTGCTCTTTATCAGTAATCAGTCTCAGAAAGCAGAAGCTGCAAAAAAGTACTCAATCATCCTTGTACTTTACTGCTCTCAGCAAACTTCACTCTGGCAATATTTAAAAACATCATGAAATGTAGAGATCAGAACAGTAATGGATATAAACCTCAGGAATTTGAAGGAAATTCTTTATCAAATACTGAATTTTGCATAGCAATAATGGATTATTTCATCTGTAAAGTAAATTAAATGCAGAACAAGGCTGACAAGAGTAGAAATTAGTCCAGGGGCTCCCTTTGCCACACTCCCTGCCCAATGCCATCATCTTCCTACTTCAAAGTGCTCAGAATCACACTGCACAGATTTATTTTCAGGAAACCTCAGGGAGCACAGGATGAGTGAGCAAAAAGAAATTACTCATCAAACCAGCAACTACATGGAAGAAAAATTATTAGACCCAAGGGGACTGAGTGTCTCCTTGTTTCAAACACCATCAGCCAGATTAGTGCCCACTGAGGTTCTCATGTAAAGCTTCCTTTGATGTGGATTAACAGGTTTCTGCAAGGAGAACACAGCCCTTCTCTCCCTGCAACAAACAGTTCTGCAAGTCTGGTTTAGACACAATTTTACTGAAATTAATATTAGTGCACAAGTACTTGCTCTCATCTTGTCCTCAGCTAATCTGTGATTTCATAGAAAGTTGGTGTCATTATTTGTTTAAAACCCTTAACCAGATTCCACACATTCCACCTGCTCTGAGGTTACAGCTGGGAGCTGTTTCCTGTTTGAACAAGCCTGAGATCTTTGTAGCAGCCACTTAAGTAGGAACATCATCTGAAGAGATTTTATTGGAAAACCTGGAGTGATTCCTGGGCAAACGATGTCTTGCCTGGAGGATTTACAATACATCAGCCTTCCCCTTATGCCTGTCCAGCAGCTTCCCATTCTCAAAGCTAAAACTCCACAATCAAAAAGGCTGATACTTCCAATATATCCAATAGCATTAGATGAAACCTGCACAAAAATGTCATCCTGGCTGTGGATATGACCAGCACCTCAAGTACAACATGCCTCAAACACAGAGGTTTGTAAGCAGTGGACACCATCTCACAGGACTGAATCAGAGCAACAGGACACTGATGGAAGGAAAGATGCAATTCCACAAGTCAGAATAGAGCAAGAATTACATCTGTACCAGCAGCACAGTGTTAAAAAAACCCCAAGCAAACCCCTCAAACTCCAGCAGCCTCAAGTTTCTTAAGGATGCCTTTGGAAGGCAGACAGAAGCTTCCTCCCTATTCCCACTGGCTCACTACCAGCTCCTGGGGAGAAGGCAGATAAACAACACCATGAAAGCTGCCTCCTTATTTCCTCAGCCAGAAAGTGTTAACTCATCACAGACACGTTCCAGCACATTTCAACATGAAGCAAAATGGGCTGGTTTCAAGTATCAACAGGCATATTAAGACATGCCCACTGGAGAGCAGAGCCTTAGGCTGCTCACAGCAGGAGTGAAAAGCACCTGAAATCTGAATTAAGGACAGGACAACATTCCCTTCACGTGGAGCCTGCCCTGTGCTCAGGACACCTGGAATTGCAACCAGGCAAACACCACAACTTCTCATACTCACTCATGGTGATCACTGAAGCTCTGAAGAAGCCTCAAGAACTGTATCTTTAAAGTAATGTCCTAAAAAGAGACAAGAAAAGTAAAAAAGAAAAAATTGCTTTAGGGTTTCTGGATATCATTAGTTACCAAGCTGAATAAAAAAACCTTTCCAAATCAAAGCGCTCAGGTCGGCAGAGCAAGTGACTTGCATAAAGGGGAAGGCTGCACTTTGCAGGCTTCCCAAAATAGAACAGAAGTGGAGACTGCTCCAAGCCTATAAAATTACTAATTTCTTCTCACTGCAAAGGCAGAAAAGCTCATCACTGTATTGATCAATTCAGAATATCTAGGTTTGGAAGGAAAAAAATAAGTAAAAGAATCCAATAAAAAACTCCCTAAACCTGACTGTGACCCAATTTGTATTCTGTGCCCTTCCTAGTTATCATTTCCTTCAGTTTTGGTTATCTTCTGCCTCTGGCTTCCAGGGTCCACCAATTTACCCCCTTTCCCAGTTCCCAAACTAGGAGAGAGGAGAGGCTAAACTGTCCCTGTTAAATTGATGGCACAAGCCAAAGTCTTCAGTGAAAACAATAATTGCCAAGAAACCGAATGCTGCCACATCTCAAGCTGTGGATTAGACAAGCACCCAGTTCCTCAGCACAACTCCTGAGGACTGTATGACAGGATAACAACCCAACACAGAATTTTAGCAGTTACTCACCGGGCTGCAATCACAATTTTGGTTGTGTCCATGCAGAACCAGGGCTGATGCTGAATGCTTTCTCCAGATCAGTTTGTCAAACAAGTTATTGAGGCCAGGAATGAGCCTGAACTCTGCAATCATTTTATGAACCTGGGAAAAAAAAGAGAGGTACAAAGTCATTTGCTGCATCCTCAAACATGGATATAACGTGGTCTGGAAACAGATGGGCACAACTCTGTCATTCTCTGCCAACAGAAGGAGAATTCTTGTATCAAACAGCAAGTGTGCGAGTTAACACTCACACTCACCATGGTGTATTGTTACAGTAGCTTCCATTTGGTGAACAAGGAGAGAATACAGACATTTTTGGAGCTGTTTGCCAGTGCTTGTTAACCAGTGTTCCTCTGGAAGCAGCTTTGGGCAGGGGGAGATCACTCACAGCACACTGAAAATGCATCTGTACCTAACAATGATGTATTACACAGCTGAGCTGTCAACGTGCTGTTGCAAGTCACCCACGGAGTGGTGACTTTTCCATTTCCACTCTTTTCCATTTCCACTCACACAGCTGAAGGTCAGGAAGGCCTCTGAAGGCAACACAAACTATCAATATGGGTGTTGTTCAACTGACCTGGGCAGGAGCTCTGAGCAAAGCTGGATCCAGCAGTAACACAACCACACTGCACTGCTCCTTCAGGTTAAGGAGAAGTTGAATTCTTTAGAGAATGATCAGGAGAGAAGAAAATCCTAAAATACTTGGGTTTATGTATCAGTCTGCCTGCCAAGCTGGGACACAGCACATGCAAGCAATTTGGGAGATGAGGGATAAGGGAAATATAAAGTGGGACTCTCATCAACTGTAGGCCTAGGATAAGCAGTATTCCTTGAGATGTGGCTGCAAATGGAAACCACACGACTGGGAAGCCCAACATGCTGCAAAAATTAAGTGCCCAATGCAGTAATGGACATATTCCTTAAAATCAATAAACAAAATCACTTAACAGTAGCCCAGGTTGTCCCCAAGATGCAGCATTATAACCAGCAGCATTTCCAGCAGGTCACTCAAATTTGTTCTATCTACTCAAACACCTGAATGAACACAAAATAGTTAAACCTGATGCTGTTTTACAGGCTTTCATTTTCTCAGTCTTACTTGCATCATAGCTGATGGCCTTTTTGCATTCCTCCTGGCTGTAGCCACCAGCTGCCCCATCTCTGTGGAAATCACATTCCTGCTGCTGGACACCCCAAGTATCACATCCAACTCCTTCCTATCTCACCCATCCTACCTGAGAGATTGCAAAGCTTGGAGTCCTCTAGTGCTCCAGTATTTTAAAATGCTATTGGACACTTTGATCTCGTCACAAGCCTCCAACAAGACCAGCTCTGAGGAATCTCTCCAAACAAAGAGCTCCCTGTATTCTCCCTGTCCCTCCACAGCCAGTGTGGCACAGGCACAACAGGAGGAAGCCAAGTGGGTGAGCTGCCTGCAAGAGCCTCAGCCCTCACCACAGGAAAAGCTCTCCATGTTCCTGGTTTTAACTCCTGAGTCTGCTCCCTCTAAATGACTCATCCCCAATTTCAAATGTGTCTTGTTCACTTTTAGTCTGCTCAGCTCTAAAGCTCTCACCTTACAGGAGCTGCATGACAGTCACTGCCTTTGTATCACACTCTCTCCCAGACCTCAAACTCATTACAACTACCTGGGGATGCCAAGGCAATCCCTGCTCTATATTTACCCTTCAAACTCCTTGGATTTTTTTCCTACTGCTGCCCACCTTCACATGAACTGGCCTAGTGCTTTCTCACCCCTAAAACGTGAGGTTCTGCTGTGTGCAGTGTGGCTCCTTACAACAGGAGCAAGCAAATCACCTGATGGCTTTTCACCCCAACACTGTCTGCAGGACAGCCCAGAAAAATATAAAAGGAGAGTAATTTAGGGTGTGACCACAGTGAGAAGGAAGCAAAGGCACAGGTCTGAGAGAAACACCACTTACCCCCAAGGGTGAGCTCACCCCTGAGGTGGCAGCAGGCAGAGCCAAGTCACTGCTACCACAGTTATCAATTTATGCAAATTAGCCAGCAATCAAGTTCACACCAAGGATTTAGAGTGAACTGGTTGAGTCTGGGAAGCTGCACAATGCCTCAAGCAAACACCAGACCATTTTGTTGCTTGTCGTGGTGGACTGAAGCAGGTTTGTGATGCCCTTTAGAAATTCCATGCAAAATGAATCCAACCTAAAACCAGTAAGTCCTTTGGCTGCTCAGACTGGAATCACAGATCCTGTGCTTTTATTCCCTCGTAGAGAAGGGACACCACCAAGCAGCTGCAATGCTTGCCAGTGAGTGTGCTACTGCAGGCACTGCTGTCCCTCACTCTGGAGCTTTCCATGGTGAACAGCTCAGCTCCAGTTTTCATCTGCCTGGCTCAGGAAGGGAAACTGGATTCACATCTGCCACACAAGTTTTATGCAGATGAAGGAATGAAGGATATATTATGTGTTTCAAAGGCAAAGGATTTCACAAGAAGTATCTGGGAATGAAGTAACTCAAATCTTTCAAGAGTTCAATTCCAGTCCCCCTGTATCAGTCCTGGGGAGGAGGTGAACTGCATGCCAGCTTTATCCTTAGTTTTCCCATCTGCACGGGGGCAGAGAGAGCAGATGAAGGACAAAGAGTTGTTTTCTCAGGAAATTAAAAAATAAATTCAGCTTCAAAGCTGGCTGTTTCAGCAGCATATTTTCTGCCTTGTCATATCTGACAGGAACACACTGGAGCTGACCCAGGGAGGGAAGGAATCCAGCTCCCCGAAGCAGTGGCAGCAGAATGAGTGCAAGCTGCAAGCTGTTTTTGCAGTATCTATAAAACTGCATTCCTGTGGTGAAATCAGGCAGCAATGAATTATCTGGCTTGATACAATGGAAAAAAATAGTCCTCCTAACGGATCCATGTTCTGGTAGTTCCAGTTACATCTGGGCTTTGTTTAAATTTTATTTTATGCCCAACAGAAACAGCATTTCTAAAAGGAATGACAACAGTTGCTTATGGTAGTGATTGTGGTTTCTGCAACAATTGCTAGTCCCCTCTTATAGAGAATTTATTTAATTTTAATGCCAAGTATCCACTTGAATGGTTTGGGTTGGAAGGGACCTTAAAGATCATCCAGTTCCACCCCCTGCCATGGGCAGGGACACCTCCCACTAGACCAGGCTGCTCTAAGTCCCATCCAAGCTGGCCTTGGACACTCCCAGGGATGGGGAGTCCACAACCACTTCTGTAGGTTCAGAGTGAACAGGTTAGTTATGTTTGGGACTGCACTACAACTGCACTTCTATTTTAAATTCAGATCAAGAGATTTAAGAGACTGGCGAGTGTTTGTGACTTTGATGCAGTGGGAGGTCACCAGCAAAGGCCAAAATACTCAAGATAAATGTGCTCGAGCAACTGCCCCCCAACACAGCCACTCTTACCCAATACAATAGCCCCTCAACAACTCACACCAATCTGGCCCTCCCAGTCCCTTCCATTCACACCAATTTGGCCTCCCAGTCTCCAGGGCATGTGAATGTCCCTGCTGTCCTGAGCTGCTCTGCTGAGCTGAGCAGACTGACAAAGCTGGAAACCTGTCAAAACTGCACCAAGGACTGCTTTTCTTTTCCCTGCACAACATGCTTTTGACCCATTTAAATCAAACCACAGCCAGGCTGCAGGGACTGGTTCTCCATAAGCCTGTGTGAGCCTGGGAATAATTTTTTTTTTTTTCATTTCAGAAGGAGGAAAGGCAAAAGGAACAGATGAGTGGGGTTACCAGGCAGTGATCAGTGCAGACAGCACTGAAGTGCATTCTCTCAGCTCAGAGTTTAAAATTTGCTCACACTCAGCCAAGACATGGGAATCTGCTGCAAAAATCACCCACTCACACCACGCCAGAGAGTTTCCAAAAGTGAAAGCAGCCAAGGAAGGGGAAGGTACAAAGGGGCTCCATCCAAACAGGTCACCAGGAGGGGTAAGAAGGTCTGGCTGCAGCTCCTGTAGCATCCAGGTACACCCACACACTTCCTCACACAGAGGGACAGGATCCCCATGCAGGAGACATCCTCCTGCATCCATCCTGCACCAGAGCAGCAGCTCTGGGGGGACTGGACCCCCACCCTTGTGCCCAGCCCTGTTTCCCAGTGGAACACTTCTTGTGTGTCCAGGCATGGCTGCCACGATGGGCTCTGCCCAGCTTTGTGCCTTCAGCTCTGCCCTCCGTGTTTCTGTGCCCACGACCTAATTAATGAGCACTGAGGTTCAAAGGGACATCAGCTGCCTGTGTGACCATGCCCCAGGGCTCACCTGATTCCTCTGCCTCCCCATGAGCAGCACACAGAGAACGTACAACACCTCCAGCTTGTACATGATCTCGTGCATGATCTTCATGGACTGTGGGAGCTGTGTCCGTGTTGAGCTGTTGGCCAACCCACTTTCATCTGAAGACTCTGAACAAGATGGCAAAAATGTGAGCCTGAGGCAGCTTCAACAGCAAGGATTTGTTACAGTTATTACTTTTACACCCAACACTGCAGGTGTAGGACCAGCCCCTCTGCTTGAATCTTCCTCTCAGCTAAAACCAGTGATGTACAGCAAAAAAGCAATTTAAATCACAGAAGAGAAAAAAAAATATAGCTGGAAATTTAGAGATAAGTTTTTAAAAATTGTTTGTCCATCATAAGCTCAATGACCTAAAATAAGTAGGCTCACCTAAATGAATTAATAGACTACTGCACCAGGACATGGCAGAAAAGGTAATGAAAGCAGGGATGAGAGATCAGAAGCATTTACTATTGATATACTTTCACTTCAGACCTCAGGATCAGTATTCTTAGGCCACAGTTAAATAATTTTCATAACCCTATGCAGAATTACCCTGCTAAGGGCAGAAACAGGAGTACTAAGTACTTTGAGTTTTACAAGACATACCCTGCATTTTTGTAATACCAAAGGGTGAAGAAACAAACCACACATGTGCTTCAAAGCATTTTCCTTCAGTTGTATTAACTGGAATAATTATTTTTCTTCAATTACTTACTCCATTTTGCTGAAACTAGATTGCCTTTTTAAAGAAGGGGCAACTTACTTGGTATGAAGCATTTGAAACCAAAGCCATCAGCCAAAGTTTTAGAGGAAAATGCTGGTGAAGTCACTCACCTCAGAAGGGTTGTTTTGCCTCTGCAGGGAGATTAGTGCTGAGGATGTACAGCATTACAGGGTTATCTGGGCATGCAAAGGGCACAGACTGCTGAAGGACATTTCCTACCTATTCTGCTAACTTTAATCAGGAAAAAAAAAATCACTGCTACATGAGAACAAACAGGGAATAAGACCTAACTGCTGATATTTCTGTTTGAAAGGAGAAGCAACAGGTGGCAAACCCTGAAGAAGGTTAAGATGTACAGCAGCTGAAGGAATGCAAGCCAGGTACCTGTACTGCTCTGCTCTGCCTCTTCATTTGCCACTCTCATCAGTGCATCCAGAACCAGTGCATTGTCCAGCCAGGTGTACCACTCCTCCAGCTCCTGCAGGAAGCTGGAAGTACCTGTGGTTTCAGACACTTTCCGTGTTGCCAGTTTGCACAGTCGCTCTATGAAGCCTGGAATATTCAGAAGTGTAGCTGAAAAAAAAAAAAAGAAAAATAACTTTATTCCTATTTAAGATCAACACAGCAGTCATCAAATCCTCCACGCCACAAGGTACCAAAACATCTACATCAGGGATACAGAAGAGTATGGTTAAAAAGATCTGGTCAAAAAGATCCAAAGATGGAAGAAGTCAGTGCAGCCTCCTATTAAGGACTGGAAGAGAGTTTCATATCCCAGGAATAATTCAGTGCTGTTTTCCAGTCCACAGTGACTCAATATCGAGGAACTGATCTGGTTGAAAATTAAGCTGGCAGAAATAAGGCAGCAGCCCTTGGAATGGGCAGCTCCACACCCCCTTTCCTCTGTGTGATGCTCCTCCTTCATTTTCCCTCCCGTGGTGTTTGTCTGGTAGCAAACTGAACTGGCTCACTGGAATAGCTGGGAGGAAAGCCCTCAGCTTTCTAAGTAATGGTTTCCTGAATTAGATCACCAAGGAGCAAAACAGATGGGGAATACACCAGAGCAGCCCCAGGTTTGAGGCTTTTAATGGTGAAACTGCACCTTTAGAAGGAGCAGTGCAAGAGCAGAAGTCACTGCTTTGCAAAATGCTTGGAGAGCTGCATTTTGCCCTCAAGTTTTCACAGAATAACTTAATTACAGGACCTGTTTATTAAAGATACATAGCTAAGGCTTCACTTCACTACACACTTGCAGATGCAAGTGGAAAAAGACAAAGAATTTGGCCATTAACATTATAAGAAAGAGTTTGATCTTTGAAAGGATAAGCTCCCTGATAAAATTTTTAAAGTAGAATATATATTTTATAATCTCAGAATCAGTCTCTAATTGTGCACACAAAAAATGATTAGTTAAACATTTGCTTGGCTAAGTTCAGCTCTGGGGGATCCAAGCTTATTAAGTTCAACTGATTTAAATTAAACTTAGTACCCACACCTACCCACACTTGTCCACTGCTCTTCACAAGAGAATTCTGGCTATCCCAGGGTAGAAAATACACCCCTCCCTTTAAAGTTTCTCAGCTGCTGTATTATGCTACTCACCTCTCACTGGATGCAGTTCTCACATCTGCTTCAGAAGCTCAAATGCTTTTCAGCACAGTAAGAGCTGAAAACAGCAGATTCTACATTTGAGGGTACTTCAATTTAACTTTTCCAATTCCTACTCATCCTTCTAGGCAAGGCTTTTGCACTTGAGAAGCACTCAGCAAAATAAAGAAACCTACACTGTGCCCTCAGTTAAAGCTGAGATGAGACCCACAGATTTCCAAGGCTGCTTTGGTAACAGTGGGCAACATAACTAACATTAAACACAATTTCCTTGTTGACAAAGACAGACATCCTGCTCAACACAGCATCAGATAAAATCAGAAAGGAACTGCTCCAACAGCAACCACACTACACACAGTTTTAGTTCAGAAATCGGTCTTTTAAGGAGGACACAGAATTACCAAGAGTTGCCATGGACATGACTGAGGCATAGAAAGCAAATCCAATTATTTTAAGCCACTCAGTTCATCAGAGAGTGCTGAAATGACAGAAATTAACCCACCTAATTAGCAACACCATATCAACCCAAAAGCTACAAAGTAAAGTTCATTAACAGGAAAGACTGTTTCCTGAGGGATAAAGAAAATAAAGAAAAATGCTCTGCAAGACACAACACTTTCAGTATCCTCCAGAAACATAAGTGACATTGAAAAGGGGAAAACTGAGATTACTATGGAGATTACTGTGATTTGTTCACAGTGTAACAATTACCTTGATTAATCTCAGCTCGAGAAGGACCCAGGTTTTTTTTCTGCTGGGCATTTTTGGCAAGAAGTGTGTGCTTGTCATCACTGCCCGTGTCGAGCTCAGAAATGGTGACAGCCAGGATCCTGCAGAAGTTTGCCAGCTGCTGCTGGTCAAAGCTGGACACAAGGCTGGCCAGGTTGGGAATATCATCCAGCTGGATCATTTCCTGGAGAAGGCAACACCAACTGAGTCACATGTGACGTTCAATAAGTGAACACAGATCCTCCCTGGGGAGCTCTGGGGGTTATTCCAATGTTAGGAAAGGAGAAGCAAGTGAAGAGTCTGAAAGCAGCTGGGATTTACAACTGCTGTACAGATATCTATTTTAAAGACTAGATGTTTGCATAAAATTTGGGGGCCTTTTTTAACTAAAAACCCCACAAACCAATTTAATACATAAATTATGTTTGGGTATTAAAAGTTTCAATTTTGTTTTCCACTTCTGTATTTTCTTTGAAACTCACAGATAAGAATCACCTTTCAGATTACTTTTCAGTTTTTTCATCAAAAGATCTTTTTAATAAAAAGAGGGTGAAAATGGTTGTCAGAAAAACACCATTTTTGTTCAGATAAACTAAGCTTGTTTCCCACTTATTTCAGGAAGTACATCTACCTCAACCTTACTCTAAGTAAAAAAGTATCAAGTTACAGACTCCTGACTCTCTCCACAAAATGTACATAGACACTGTTCATTCAGGGTTTTCCCAGGATTACACCATTAATATTTTATTTGCATCACATCAAAGAACTCAGCTGTAATGATGATGGCAAATAATTAAAAAAACAACCCCAGTCTGTGCAGAAGAAAAGTGTCCTGTTTCCCCAGCCTACAACTTGTTTGAGAGGTGACAAAGCCCAAGGTAAGAGAGAAGGACAGGAGGCCCTTCCAGATGTCATGAAGACAAGTATAATGTGTGAAGTATAATCAGAAGGCAAGGATGAAAAATTAATTTATATGAGGTTCATTTCCTTTATTTGAAACACTGGCTGTACTTTAATGACAGTGAGGTACTCAGATGGTGGGTGCTCACCTCCCATCATCCTCTGAGCTATGGAAAAGCATTGCAAGGATGATTCCACATCAATAGTGTGGCTTCTCTATGAGATGACTGAAGTTAATGATCACTGTGAACAGTCAGGTTTCAAATAAACTACAAGTGGGGCTGGCAGCTTAAGAGGACTATCCTCAGCAACTCTTCAAAGCAACAGCTCTTTCCTCCACTGGCCTGAAAAGCCATACAAATAAAGCAAAGAAACCAGTAACTAACCTTTTTAACTCCCAGGATATCTTCAATGAGCGTTGCAGTTTGTAGGAATGTCTTTTTGTTTGTCATCAGTGTAAACAGGAACAGCACAAAGTCGTTTCTTTCTGCCAGTCGCCTCGTGACTCCTTCCGTCTGCAAAGCAGCACAGACCCGCTCAGAGCCCACCCTGAGAAGCCACATCTCACAGCACATGCAGGACACAGCCCTGCAGATGGTGTGTTACTGACCCAGCTACTCCTGGCACCAGGAAAAGCTGGGTTTATGGCCACCAAAACCAACCCCAGTCCATGTCTGAAGGTAACAGGAGCCTGCAAAACCGACAGGCTCCGTGATGAGAGGCTTCACCTCAGAGTTGTTTACTTGCCTGAATCCAAACTAAACACTGCCTGCCTGGCAGCACTCCAGAGAGGCTTGTCTCTGCTTTCCCATACAAACTGTCACCAGCTCCATGCCCTGATATGCAAATGCAGCCACTCCTCAACCCTCAGCACCGCTCTCAGTTTGAGCCACCCAAATGCAGCACTGGCCTAAATGAACCTGGTGATGAACCCAAAAGTCACACTGAGGCCTGAACTTGAGTTCAGCACTGAATTTAAGACTGGCTTTCATGCTCTAATCATTACAGACAAGTTTCATGCTCTGAGCTCTGCTGAGAGCACAGCCAGGCTTCCCTGGAACTTAAAACTGCATCCTCACTGCCTGCAAAGCTGCCTGCTCTGTGTGACTGGCATATCACCAGTGCTCACAGAACTACACTGGCTTAGACAGTTCCTCAGTATCTACACATTAATATTGCACACACACCATTTCTGTGATCCTGCACACTTCTCATTCAAGAGACAGCAGTAATACCAAAGTGAATTAAAACAGCAGCTACTCTAAAAATTGCAAACTTGCTTCTTTCACAGTTTGCAGAAGTAGCATTACCCGTAGTTAAAAAAATAAATCATCTAAGCCAAGAAGAAAGCATTCCTTCTCTTCCCCCTGCCATGTGTGCAGATCCTCAGCAGAGAGACATGATTGTGTAAGACTCACACTCTGGAGATCAGGCTGATGCCTTCAGAAGAGCTCCAAGCCACCAACCACCTCTCTTCTTTTTAAATTTTTGTTAAACAACGTTCCCTGGCTTATGGCATAATGAAGTGAATGATGAAGTAAACAATCCTGAGGATGTTCCCTGCATGCATAATTGGAGGCCTGTGCTTTTAGTTTCAGAATTTTAATGACAAGGTATTTCCACAGGCCTTTAACCCAGCACCTTCCTTAGTGCTGCTCTGCCATCCACAGAGCTGAACTAAACTGATACCCAGAACACGAAGGAGTTGCAGGATCAAACTTAAAACACTGGGCCAGCACCACTTCTGAACAAGACTAGCTGCAGCTGGGGTTAACAGGGATCTATTTCCAGTTTCAAATTCTAAGATGGAACTCAACAAAGGCTGGCATGGCTTTCCTACTGAAACACAGAGACAGAAAGATCCAAATCAGAGGATTTAAACTTGACTAAGGAACTGTGTAACACACCAAAATACAGGGCAGTCCTGTATTTAACTGAAGGAATTTTCACATAAAGCTTCAGAGTAGGTTTAAAGTACACTTAAGAGTCTGTATATTGTCTTATCAAGTGGCACCTGTAAAAAGAGACCAGCAGAAGACTTTTGCAGCAGTTGTACTTACACACAGACACGTGTTGTACAGTATGCTGAGACAGTCCTTGATGAGGTCATCACTTACTGCAAAGGAGAGAACAGTCAGTCGCCAGCCACAGGCTGCCAAGGGACACCAATGCCAAGGAGTGCCATGGAAAGCCATAAAATGGAGGGGAATTGCAGGCTGCTACCTCAGATCACATGTGCAAATGCCTTGGAGGATAGAAACTGGAAGAAGGACTCAAACTGCCAGGGTTAGATGGGATATTGGGGAGAAATCCTTCCACAGGTTGCCCAGAGAAGCTGTGGCTGCCCCATCCCTGGAAGTGTCCAAGGCCAGGTTGGACGGGGCTTGGAACAACCTGGGCTAGTGGAAGGTGTCCCTGCCCATGGCAGGGGGTGGAACTGGATGATCTTTAAGGTCCCTTCCAGCCCAAACCATTCTATTATTCTATAAGTCTTTACCTGACCTGTTCACATATGAAATTATTTAGTATGGGGAAAAAAAAAATAAGGACAGTTCATGTAGTGTTCTCCACACAGCACCTGGACTTCATAAGAACAGCTTTCCATCTGATTCACTGCACATTTTAATATTTAAAATATGTTTTCAGTACAGCCCTACAACAGCTGCCTGTAGCTCAAGTTCAAGCCACGTCACCTTTGAAGTTCCCTGGCTGACGGGCACAGAGTGCACCAGGACATTCCCTCTCCTCACAAGGGCTCAGGGAACCAGCAGAGTCACAAACAGGGCAAAAGAAAACACTAAAGCAAAGCTGCTCCAGCAGGAAAGCTGTGCTGAAGCCACTGCACCCCCTTGGCAAAGTTCTCCTCACAGCAATGTGGAAGTGAGTCAGGAGAACAGCACACCTTTTATCTCACAATCTCTGTAGCTCCTATTACATAAACAATGTTTTGTGGCTTATTATTAAAAATTGCTCACTGTAGCTGTAGCCACAGTAGCAATAAGTTTCCACTGATTGCAGATTTAGTTCTTTGAGTGAGGGATGTTGTGCTGAGTGTATGAACCCTCTGGAGCCGTGTGACTATCCCAACAGGTGACTATCCCAAATCCCAGCACGAATCAGTACCACGGAGAACAAAGAGACCAATGATTCATTCCTAAATGAATCAACAGGAAATTGCTGGTATGGAAAGAGAATAACAGAAAAACAGAACAATTTCTGTCTGAATAAGAACACAAGGCAAAATTGGAGGGGAAGAGATAAAACATGAATTTACTTACTTTTCTGCTTCTTTTTCTGTGTAATAAGAGTTGGTCTCATGAGAATTTCTACTAAAAGCTGGAACGATAAGATAAAGAATTAAAGGAAGGATCATTTAGATACAAATAACAATTAATATGCCAGTGACAAAGTCAAACCCAGACTTGTCCCTGCTGAAGTCACAGAGGTGAATAATGGAGGCTCTACAATCAACACTCCACTGGTGTCAAAATCACACTGACAGAAAATAGTTGCATTTACCCTGAAGAAACAGTAATGGTTGTACAAAATAATCTCCCACTGGCAAGTTTTAAAGAATTTGAGCCTGCAAAGAATGTGCTTTCACATGCCTCCAGATAAAATCAGGAATGGCTGTCACACATCTCCCAAAATAAGGAATCTTTAGCAATAATCTGCAGAGAAATGCATATTTTGCAAAAGCTTTCCCTAAATCTTTCTGGCCTTCAAACATATTTCAGGTCTAGACATAACAGAATTTAGCTGCTCCAGATTTTAATCTCACTGACAAAAAGCCACTGCTTGTGTACATCACCTTGATCTATACTTTTTATATATTTACAGATGTTGTCTCATTTCTATTTAAGGAATGTAACAATCAGTTTTCCAAGACTTAGGACTCTGTGGTTCTGTTAAATGTAGAACTGATCTTTAGTTGCTCCAGTCTATACCACTGGTTTATCTTAAAACATTTTGAAAAATAAGCAGTTTATTTAAAAATGAGAGTTAACCACTAGAAGCAACTGATAACTCCCCCAAGTACTGCAAAATGCCTTTAGTTTTATAATTGTCAACAGCAATGTAGGCACCACCCAGCTGATCAATAAACCTGCAATTTACTACTTGCTCTCTTTAGTCCCACCTTAACTTTGCCCTTCTTTTAATGAACTACCCACCCAGACACAGAGGAAGCCACCTGGAGGCCACATTTTAAGCACTGACAAACAAATAAATAGGCAGCTTTAAAGAGGAACATACATTTTCCAGCAATATTTGTAACAGTAATTGTAGCATCAATAGAGTAGAGAAAAATGACTGCAGCAGTAATGCAGAGCTCATATTAATGGCTCCTGTTTTAAGGAGGAGAATTCACACTTCAAGGTTTGGGGTTTATGTTTTTTTTATGCTTTAATGTTTGTGTTTTAATGCTGTGTGGCAGAAGGCACAGAAAGGGAATTATGAGATCTTATTTCTTGGAATGGGGTTGCATTCAGGTATAAAATCCACGAGGCTTCATCAGTTCATGTGTTTGCACTCTCAGGTCGTATTTTACATGGATTCATATGAAGGGAGGACAATGTGTTTTTGTTCTTCCTTGATGTAAAAGCTGTCAGAATCCAAAAATATTACAAAGAACATACTATCAACACATTATAGCATAGAGAATACACTGCAAATTTAGGGTCCTTCAGAGTTTCTCCCTGCAAAACAATCAGTACCAGCAGGTCAGACCGATTCCCTTTCAAGCCCTAGAGCAGGATTTTTGAAAAAAAAAAAAAAAAAAAAAACCAAAAAACAACAACACAGCACTGGATTCTATCACTGCCTTTAACCACATTAAACCCACCTGTATCAGCCAAATCTCTGGCCACAGTACCAGGTAGTTACAGCATATCTGATTTTTGCCATCTCCAGCCCAAGAGGAAAAAAAACCACCAAACCCCAACCAGCAAAAAAAAACAACTCACCCCCAACACACACAGATTCTGTGTGTTAAAATCATTCCTACAGGAAATATCACTATTTTCCTTTAGAACCAAGGGAAATTTAGCACATTTTCAGATGAAAAAGTGTTCTAAATTGCTTGGGTAGCTGAAGACTTTTGTCCCCAACCGACAGCACACAGGCAACTAAACCACTGCTCATTTCAAACCAACATAAATACCAGTTTTACTTAAGTAAAGGCATGCTAAGTGTAACAAGAAAGAAGCAGCAAAAACTGCTTAATTAGACAATTAAAAAAAGGGAAAAAAAAGGAAGAGAGTGTCAATTAGTTCATCAGAAAATACAAATCATGCGTTTCTGATGAAAGCCAAGATCCCAGAGTGTAACGTAGAATTAAAACAAATAAACAAAAGGATAAATTGCCAGAATGTCAAGAGAAAACTTACAGTTCTTTAAAAAAAAACTTTTCCACAGATGAAGCAATAAACACAGACAAGGTGGCTAAGAGTGTCCTGGTGTGCTTAAAAAACTGCCACACATCCCTCAGTGGTAAGTGAAATTCTCACTGCTCTGGTTCCAGCTGTAGCATTTCATCTCACAATCAGGAATCATTTGCAACTGTTTTCACTGAGAACTAAAGGTCTCACCTTTTTAAGTTAAAAAGACTGACTGAGTGAAGAAATATCCAGGTTTTCTGGCTATTTATCATACAAGAAAAAGCACATTTTTATGTGACACCTTGAAAAACACACCCCCTTTGTATTTTGATTAACAGAAACAGGCACAACTCCAATGCTTAACATCAAATCAGTGAAGTCATTTTGTAGCTCACATTTAGGAGCTTCAAAGGTCTCAGAGACCTCACTGAAGAGATTTCTCAGGGGTGTGATTATCATGCAGAAATGTTTTGATATTATTGAAAAAACGCACTCACATCGACTCCTCCAAATAAGTCAAACGTGTATGTATTTGGGAAAGTGGACTCTTGAGCAGCTTTTCTATCTTCTGTAACATATGCCATGGCTTCCATTGAAAGAAGGGGAGAAATTTCCTGCATGGAGCAAAAAAAAAAAGGAAAAAAAAAAATCAAGAGATGGTTCCAGAAGAAAACTGCTCATCAGTATAAACACAATTATCTCCCACGATCTGTGTGATCTACTGACTAATCATTACCTGCATTCCCAGCCCATTTTCAGACATATTATCATGCAAACAGCTTCAAAAATTAGTTAGAATTATGATCCCAGCAGGCAAAATCCTGCCTGGCTGTAGGAAGGACAGTGCAGGCAGTACCTTTAGGATGCTTTGGCACTGGGAGAAGTCGCTGTTTGGGTGGCTGTGCTCATACAGCTTCTGCAACAGCAAGGGAATCCCATTCCATTTTGCTTGCTTGTCTCTCTCCTTTAACAAGGCCTCTGTGATCTGCAAGGAAGAAACAACATGATTCCCATGTGTCCAATGCTTCATAAGCAGGAAAATATAACCTTATCACCTCCCTCATGTCAGCAACGGAATATCATGGCAAAACAGCTTGCTGTAGAGAGTACCACTCCAAAATCCAGCACCTCTTTCCATGCAGCAGTTTATCCAGGACTGGGAGCTGCAGAATTTCACAGTATCTGAAGCAGGGCAGGGCTCCAAGCAGATTTTGTCATTTAGAGCACTTTATCTCATCCTGCATTTTTATATTGATCATGTATGTTAAAATGGGAACACATTAGTCTCTAAATAATTCCATTAGCAGCACTCCAATTGACAGGTCAGTGAGGGAGGAACTGGGTGCCCTTGCCACTATCCCAAATTAAACTAGTCTAAGGTGTAGAACACAAAAGATGGAAAGGCTTCATTACTTGAAATGAGTATTACCTCAGCCAAGTCCCTGAAGCCATTCTTGGTCACAGCACTGACCCAAACCACAAAGATTGACAAGCAAGCTCCAGAAGAACATATCAAACATACAGGGGAAATTCCCCTCTGTTATAAATGGAGACTACCACCTAAATCAGTAGAACAGCAACATTGGCTGAGAAAGAGGCTGCAGCCATAAAAAAAAGAACACCTTGGCATTTGCTACTACGCTTGTCCAAACTTTCTTCAGGTTTGTCCTTCTCACCAAAAGATTAAAAAAAAATTTCTCAATAATCACCACTGTATTTTACACCTGAAAAAAGAAATGAAGTAGCAGCACAAGACTAAAATATTCTGCTTTGAATCCACAAAAAATGTTTTGAAGCCTGAACACTTGCAAGTTAACGCCAGCAGAGGAGGAGCTCTTTGGTAAAGTTCACCATCCAGCCAATGCTGACCAAAATTTAACTACCTTCCTTATGATATTTCAGAAGTACCCACACCAACCACCAAACAGGGAATTATTCATGTACAGAAAGGTAAAGCAGACAATAATTACAGCCAGCAGGATTTCAAAGCAACATTTAGAACACAGATTATCCTGACTTGGAAGGGACCCCCAAGGACCATCCAGTCCAGCTCCTGTCCCAGCACAGACACCCCAACATCCCACCCTGTCCCTCAGAGTGTTGTCCAAACCCTCCTGGAGCTCTGGCAGCCTTGGGGCTGTGCCCACTGCCCTGGGGAGCCTGGTCAGTGCCAACCACCCTCTGGGGGAAGAACCTTTTCCTGAGATCCAACCTAACCCTGCCCTGGCACGTGTGTGGATTTGCTCTTACTCCTAGGCCTAAACCTCTAAGCTGCTCTCATTCTGACCCTTCCTGTGGTTAACTGAGCTTCCCTCCCTCCTTCCTTGTTAATAATTAACAGCCAGGAAATCTCACTCATTGTTTCAGCCAAGACATCCTTCTCAGATACACCTCAGTGTGCAATTCCAAAGGGCCACTCAAGTCCTGATTAGACAATTATATGCAAATATACCCCAATTTCTGCTGACAATTTAACCCTTTTCTCTGCTTGTTAAACAGGAAGACCAGAAAACTGATGCAAGCCCTTGAAAACTCAGCTTGGCAATGCAGCTGCAGTGGGTCCTCATCCTTCCAAGCTTCCCAGATACTTAGGGGTCTTTTCCTGATGAAATTCCTAAATTTGCAGGTAACTAAGAACTTCAAGGCTCCTGAAGTATCAGTTCAGGTATGAAGAATCAAGATTTCTTGCTACAAGGGGTGACTGAAGCAGCAAGAGCAGATCTGGAACACAGAGTCAAAAACTGGGGAGACTTTTTTACCTTTTCCCTGCTTTCTGACTTCTGGATCAGAGTAATCAACCAGCACTGCTGGAGAATGACACAGAGTTTCCTTCTGAGGAGGAGAAATAACAAAGGGCAAACCCAGAATGTCAAAATGGCTTCTTATCGTGTGGACTCCAGGTCGGCTCCTCTGAAGTCACAGATTCCCATTTCTCCTTGTGATTCCTGGCACACAGGGAGCCAAAGGAGCTTCTCCACCACCCCATCCCAGGTGTGGGAGGAGCACACAACCCCAGGGGCGGTGGAGGAACTGGATTAATGACTGGGTAAAGTGCAAAGAACACACAGCAAAATGCCAGGGAAAGAGTCCAACTCTGGCTCCAGCTGATGGGAAGATACCCCAGGCAGAGATGACGTGCTTGGGCTGCAGCTCAGGTTCCAGCAGCAGAGTTCAGTATCCAAGTGCTCTCTGGAAAGGCCAAAAGCCCTTAACTGACATTAAAATCTTGTCCTGGGCTTAACACCACTTTGTTAATCTCACATACACTCTTGGTTTGGGGCAGGATCCATCCCCACACCCATTTTTGTACTCCCTGTCCTGGGCTCTCAGAGGCAGCCACAGGAAAAACTTTCAGAGCTGAAATTCTGAAGGAGTGAAGCAAATGTTTCCTTGTTCTCATCATCTTTTAACCGCTTTCAAAAGAAAAAAAAGAAAAAAAAAGGCAATTTTTCTTTCTCTTGATTTAACATGTCTTTGGTTTCATGGCAAGCTCTGGCCTGTGGTCCCTGTTCTGTGTTTATGAGGCTGCCCTGGCTCTGGATGTTTCCATTGTGGCCGGGCGGGATTTGCCAACGCAAAGATTTGGGATTCTCTGAAGGGATTCAAATTCAACCCGACTGGATGGAGCTGTCTTTCCTCACAGCCATTTTGGTTAAAAACTGCATCTCTCCATTTCTGTACCAGCAGCCAGTCAATGGTTTTCATTTATAAACAAAGGTGGTTTTCTTCTTGGCTCTTTCTGGGCAAATTTTACTGAATAGTCATCAGTAAAATGGGTTCCTTTCCTCTGTAGAAATTTCTGGTCTCATCCAAGCAGGGTAAGTGCAACCCAACACTGATTTCTCAGAGATTTTGTTCACTCACTGAAAAATTCTGGCTAAAATACCTGAAATCTTGCACACAAAGCTTGAGAAGTTGGGTATTATCCAGCAAAGGGGAGGCTGCAGCAGCCCAGCTGGAAATGGCATCCACAGTTGTGGTTTCCTGGATCCTGTTCCCCAGCCAGGTATCACCACCTCCCCAGGAGCATCATCCACCTCCCCCTACTCCAGCTATGTCATGGCAGCGTGGATTTGCCAGAAGGGCAATCAAAGGCTTTCCAGAGGATTTAAGCACAGAGTTAAAAATGTGTCCTCAAGCCCATCCATGACTGCAAGGTAGAGCAGACCAAGGGGTTTTCTTTTTAAAGTCTCCTAAGGAACTGGGCCCAGGATTTCCCAGGAGATTGTTCCAAAGACTGATAACTACCATAGTTATACATTCCTACTACACAGTTTAAAATAACTTTTATGCATAATTTTTCTTGGAAGTATAAAAAGGGCTGAACAAAGACTGCACTCAAGTCTTAATATTTCTTTAAATTTCTTTCTAATCCTCCTGTCTTTTAAATCCTTTTAAAGATCACAGAATCACAGAATAGATTCACAGAATATCCTGAGCTGGAAGGGACCCACAAGAATCATCCAGCCCAACTCCTGGCCCTGCACAGACACCCTAACAATCCCACCCTGTCCCTCAGAGCATTGTCCAAACCCTCCTGGAGCTCTGGCAGCCTTGGGGCTGTGCCCACTGCCCTGGGGAGCCTGGTCAGTGCCAACCACCCTCTGGGGGAAGAACCTTTTCCTGAGATCCCACCTAACACTCCCCTGACAGCATCCATTTGCAAGATGGTCAGTAAATAATTATGAATAATATCGAAATCTCCATGAAGTTCTATGTTTTTACCTAAATCCACCCTTTGATCACTTTAGTTTCCCTCTCATTTCTCCCCTCCACTCCTCCTCCAGGCACAGCCTCTCCAGCAGCAGCAGCAGCAGCACATCCTCCCTGCTCTGTGCCCCTTCCCCTGCCCAAACATTTGTTACTGCCCTGAGACCTCTTGTAGCCACAACTGCTTCCAAGTCCCTTCCCCTTCCAGTGAGGATTTTCCTTCCCATCTGTGTTCCTGCATTTTCATCTCCCTACAAAGCAAACCCCTGATTTTCCAAACCTTCCCCCCCCCTTTGCCAAGCTGTGGTCAGTGACACATCTCTGTGTCTTCCCAGAGCACCTGAAAGCAGCAGAAAAACCAGGAGCTCCTCCTCCCCTTCACTCTCCAGAGTAGGGAGAACAGTTCCCTGATAAAATTCTCTCTCTGTTTCATATTTTACCCTTCAAACATTTCACTGTCTAGCTAAATGCTCGCTCCAGGGGGGCTTTTGCTGTCATCTTTCAAAAAAGCAAAAAGCAGTGACTCAGGTGTCCAGGCATCTTTACAGCTCAAAAGGATTCGTGCTGTGACAGACTTCACAGCTATGACACATCAGTTATGAGTTTCTTTTAATTCCATTTTGCATTGCAACCATACATTAAGGTTGGAAGTGCTTTTAAAAAAAGCAGAATTTTCACTCTTGGTATTTTCCATGACCACTTCTAAAGCACATATTTAAATGCCCTCAAAGTTTAAAAGCAAAGAGGCACAAGATTATGGATCTTGACACACAGATGCATGCATATTGTCTCTATGTATTTTAATAAAACTGAAGCTTTTCCAGATTCTTTCCTTCAAGTTTTTCAGGCTGTACCTTTAAAAACAGGAAACTAATATTTGTGCAATTAAATATTAAATTTTCCTTGGAACATTAATAACTTAGGAAGTCATCTCTGACAGGCTGCCAGGAGAATGATTATTCAGGATTTTGGGGAGTGCCCCATCATCCCAGCTCTTTATTATATTTTCCTTTCCAGTTGCTAACAACCATCCAGCAGCCTGGCTAAGCTGTCTCCTTCCTCACACAACTTTTCACACAAAAGGCTGTTACGAAGGTAAATGACCTCCTCCCAAGTTTTCCCTTACTGCAGGAACACAATTGCTGGCCTATGGAGTGATTCTGGAAAGAATTCCAAGGGAGAAGCTGTGGGCTGCAGCTCTGGGGCAGAACACCGTGGTCAGTCACCAGTTGGGGCTTTTGCACAGAGCTCTGATCAAAAACATGTCAGAGCCCCCCAGACATTACTCATAAAAAGGATCTCCATCGCTGATATTAAGCC